ACGTTCGCTCCAACAATTCTTGTCGTTCGTCTTCCGGGAGCGATGCCGTCAAGGCGCCAGCCGCCGTACGACGCATGGCAAAAAAGAGTCGTTTGGCAAGCTCGCCGGCCACATCCCAAATGGCAATCACAAGTTCCCAGGCTTCTTGGCTCAAGATGATTTCGCCCTTGGGGGCATCCTTGTTAAAGGGATTGGAAGGTGATGGTGGAGGCGAGGAAGTGGAAGAAGGTAGAGGCGTGGAGGTGGGTGATGGTAGAGGGGTATCATCTTCGTCAATGGCAAAAAAGGGATGTGAATTGTCATTATCATTCTTGTTATCGACTGCAAAGAGCAATAAACTATGTGGATTTTTATTAGCCGTCGGTTTGGTGAATGTAGTCGATAATGAAAATCCTCCCACGAAACTGAGGACACAGAAAGCCCACAGAATGGCCACACCATGCCAAACCAACAGATTCCGCCTTGGACTTGTCATCATCATGACAGCTTGTTGTGAGCAGAACTACTCACTGTTGTGGCTCTGTACCGGTGGCTCCTCTATTGGCGATTATTCATTCCACCAAAGAGAGCCAAGGCTTTTGAATGTGGGCCACAAAGCTCTCGGGTTGTTGAGCCCAGATCTTTTTCCTAGCTGACACCTTTCGCTTTTGAGACGTCATCAGATTGCTTGCGGGACTGCAACAACTGGACGATCGTGATGAACTCCACGATCGTGACGATTCCACGCTCACCTTCCGTTGCCAAGCAAAGCAAGGTTCGAGATGCCCATAGTAAAAGTTTGACAAGAGAGCAAACAACCTCCCTGAAACCAACAACATGAACAATACTGACAATGAAGTTCCCCTTGACAAGGTTCTATCAAGCTTTCTGACTGATGAGGAAGTTCATGATGTAACCTTGCTGGCAAATGATGGCACAAAAGTAGAGGCAAACCGCTTTGTTTGTCCATCAGATCTCCAGTATTTCGCCGCATGTTTCTGGGCAAGTTCTCAGAAGCAAACAAGCCCGAGGTAACTGTTGGCTTTGGTGGAAGCATCATGCAGGATATTGTGGAATATATTCATACAGATACATGTGCTAGCCTCAATGGGAAGAAACGAAAGGCTGAAGATGAGAATGAGACAGAGATGTGGAATCAGACCAAGGAACACGCCGAGAAACTGGCGGGAGTCTCCAGCGCTGCAATGTACTACAATTTAACTAGTCTTGTCCAGAAGATTGAGAAGAGCATCTCAAAATTCTTGGAAACTACTCCATCTTTGTCATTCGTGGTCTTGGCAGCATGCCACAAAGCAGGCCCCTTGGTTCCAGCAGAATTGGCTGAGCCTGCATGGTCATTGGTTCGAACCAACAAAGATGCCCTTATGAGCACAAATGCAATTGCTTGTGTGGATGCAACTCTGGTGGAAGAGATTCTCAAGGATGATCAAACGACAATGGACGAGTACGATCTTTTTCTATTTCTGACTCAATGGGTTCAAATCAACCCAAAGGATCGCAAACCAATTGCCAAAAAGCTTGGATGCAACATCAAGCTGGAAAGCATAAATCCTTCACATCTCTCTGATACTGTTGCCTCATCTGGCCTGTTCATGTCGGATCAAATCAACGAAGCCTACAAAAACCAAGCCCTGCATGCAGAACAAGCTGGCTCTGTGCCTTTTCAAGGATCACGACATGGGGTCTGGAAAAAATCTCGCACTGCAGCAACTGGCTTGGATGTGTCTGATGTCAATACAGACATTCTCATGTGCGCTCCCATTGAGGATGGTATCCACCAATGGACAGTGAAGCTATTATGGGATGACGGTGCAGGAAGGAATGTTAGTGCTGCATTTGGCATTGTCTGCTCCCAAACATTTGTGGAAAATGGACGTCAACTTGGAAAGCAGAAGGGAGGGTGGGGATTGGATGACTATGCCCAAATATTCAGAGAGGGGGGGCTGGAGAAACTTGATGTGTGGGCTATTCAGGTTGGCTCAGAAATCACACTGACACTCAATCTGAACCCCAGCAATAAACGTAACGGTACCTTGAGCATTTCCTGGGGTGAAGGTAAAAGATATTCTCATCATTGTCTTGTCAACAATCTACGTGATCATCTCAAGTCACACCCTGGAGGATTTCTTCCTGCAGTATCGACTTCCTCGGGTGGCCGTGTCGAGCTTGTTAAGATGCGAAAGCTCAAGAAGGCTGACTGACTGACCATTGCAGGTTGGCGAATGTGAGAGACAATGCATATCGTCCAATATTTGCACAACATGAACACGACATCCTAGAGAGCATCCCATAAATTGAAGCGAAACTCTATTGCATTAGCCAAAATTGGAAACCGTGTTCCCACGGACAATGGAAGAATGTTTGTAATTGGCTGTTCTCGTGCGACGAAACGCCTTCGCGTCCTAGCATCCATGCCAATTGCTGATGGAATCCAAGCTCCAACGTGCGTGGTGTTCGTTGCAGCGTTTTGTTTGACTGTAATGCAGGACGGCGCAACGTAACAGTTTCGGTTGTCGCCCGGACGGAAATCCCAAATCTGGTGTCGATCCACGTGATGCAACCAAGCTGCTGTCTTGCCACTCATATCTGCTGCTGCTGCTGCTTCAAGGGAATGTACGACTCTCGCCCGTGGCAGTGGGTTGGAAACTTGAGGATGAGTTGCCGGTAGGTTTGCACGTTGTTGGTGGTGAAACCGGCACGAGCAGCGGTGATGTTTTGCTCCCAATCATGACGCAAACGATGCCATTCGTGATGCAACTGAAGGCACAGTGGATTATCGTCTTCGTTGGTGTAGCACCACCACGGCTTTTGACAAATGGTAAAGTGGACGGAATAGATGTGTTCCAACAAGGTCCGACGGCAATCGTGACAGTAATGCGCTTCGTTGTTGCCACAAAAGAGCGGATTGGGGGCATCGGCCATGGCATTAACGACACAGCGATCGAGTTCGACGGCGGTCCCGGGTGCCACGTATCCATAGTAATAACTCAACAGTCCTTGCATCTGGGCAATTCCATAGTACCACGAAGGATCGCCCAGGGTCGGACCTCCCCATCCGTAGCCTTTGGTAAAATTGGCGCCGTGCCGAATAATGTCCACCAGTTGATGGTAGACCGTTTGATTGGGTTTCACCATCCAGAAACCTCCCTGCACACCGACGCGTTTGATATCCGGTAGATTGGTTTTGGAACTACGGGCCAAATTGTAGTCACGGGTAAAGAATGCCTGGATGGGCCAACTGCTGCAGGGATTGTCTAACTTCTTGTCCGCAACGAGACCGGAAAAGGCGCTGGGGCACTCGAAGGTAGACGACGACAGCATGGCGTCAAACAATATATCCAATGGTTGGAGTAAAATGGTATCGAGATCCAAATGGACCACGATTTGATATTGCGTCAATGTCAGAGCATGGAGCTTAAGAAACTCCTTTTCTCCACAACACCCTGCCGTGGGAACGTGTTGTCGCAACACTGCATTTTGAATCTCCTCCAACGCCACAGGCGTGGGTAGAATATGCACCTGATATCCCAACTTGGCCAAAATTTTGCGCCCACATTTGCGGGCCGAAGAATGCACAAAGACATGCAAATCAAAGGGTCGTCCTTGCGTCTGGCGAATGGATTGTTGCAAGACGGCTGCGGCATCCCAAAGGGGAATGGGATCGTTATCCGTTTCCATATTCGGACAAGATGTGACGGTGACAGCAAAGGCAATTGTCGTGTTGAATGAGGAGGATAATTCTGCTGTTTGAAGTGGTGTGCCAGGTCGATGCATGTCTTGCTGCTGTGTAGCTTCTTGCATATTCGGCTTGAGTGTTGGTGAGGTATGGGCTGCTCCAGGCTCCACTTCAAGCAACTTCTTCGTTGTATCCTTCATGGTCCCGGTCCCTTGTACAGAAGTGTTTTTGTCATGTAATACTATGGAGTCGTCATAATCGACAGCAATAGTGACATTCCGATAATAGCCCGAGGCAACGTCAAGGAACTGTTGGACTGTGTGGGAATTGCCACCAATTGATCCAAACAACAGTGCCACCAAAACGAGGAAAGGGAGGAATTTGTGGGCTACAGGACAGCTGGAAGACCGGTCCTTCTTCTTCTGCTTCTTGTTGCTCCTTGTCCTCGCCATGACACCGAGCTAGCTTTGAACTTGCCCCTGCATACTACATCATTCCCAAAGAGCACAAAACCCAAGAATGTTGCTGCTTTCTTGCTCCTTGCTTCGATCTGACGCTGGTGGGCAACGCAGCAAAGCTGTCAAAGTAGTTTCCATGACCGGGGTACCGGTACCGTACATGAACCGCGGTTGGGGTTGGAAAAGGTGGCCATCTGACCGCCACAAAGACGACGGAAGAAGGAAGCAGAATACTGTATGACGGAGCCGACCAGTCTAGAGTACTGCATCTACTTCAGAACGGTTTCGCTTTTAACCGCTTTTAAGGGGACTATCGTATGTAAAGGATGTTCATGAAAATGGGTATACTGTGGTATCCGCGGGTCCAGTTCCCCGTCCACCTGCGTTGGCTTTTACTACTTTGGCATCGGCGTATCCAAATGTTCCCACACCATCTGCCGATCTCGTGGATCCAGCAAGTAAAGATAGTCGGCATAAACGGATTGGAGCGCAGGGTTGTGCTGCCCATTCACATAAATCTCGCAGGCGACAGCCCCAACCTTGGCATCATCAGACTCTTCCTGAGACGTCATGAGCTCTGTGTATTCTGTATGCGCTCGTCCCCAGTGCAAATAGCGAGCCAACAGGAACGCAAGACGACTCCGCATGGGAATGCGTCCTCGAAAGACAGCGCCATTGCCCAGTGACACGGCATGGACTTGGAATTCTTCCGCTGTCATCTTTTCCTTGCTACTACGGTCTGACGATGACGATGATGATCCCATCCCACCACTAAGAGAGCATTCCGTGTCATCCAAACCCGGAGTATCCGTCCTTGAAAGATCCGCTCGGACCGTCTTGGCGACCTTGCTGGCAAACTTCTTGGCTTCCTCGAAACTGGACGCACCCACAAAGAAGCCCACTGCATTTTCGTGGCACTCCCCAGTGGCAGGGTCTTGAAGGAAGACTGAGATACCAATATTATCGTCTTCGTGCGGAGTGATGATGTCTCCCGCGCCCTTTTTGGGCTTTGACGATGGGTATCCTGTCACTGTATAGCTGCTGGTGATGGTGATTTCTCCGGCCCCCTTGGTTGAGTCTTCAGCCAGAGCAGCCTCAATTCCCTTCTTGGTTGCTCCAAGGACACTACAGACATGGTTGTCAATGTAATCTTCGTCCAGAGCTGTGGTGACAATGGCATATAACTCCTTCTTTCGGTCGGCATCAACTTTTGTTGACTGGCTCCCGAAAATTGATTCCACCACTTGAAACTTGGGGCGATCCAATACCCCCAACCAGAACAAGACCATTCCAATGACGCCTATAAATAAGGTAATGAAGCACATGATAACAATAGACATCGGACTTGCTTCGTCGTCCTCAACGACTTTGCCTTTCCACAACAACAACCGCTCAAAAACAAAAAATGAGTGTTTGGTTTGGTGGCGATTTGAATCGTGCCCTCCACTGCAAAGATCTTGGAGCGGTGACGGTTACAGAAATTGCCGCACTGCGGACATGATGATGGGCAGACGTGTTTCTTTGGAAGCCTCTGGATCTAAAGATCCAAACCTCAACCCTAAATCGTGAGGACTTTTTCTAACCCAAAGGGTGCTCCTTCGAGTTGTTGCAACCGATAAAATCAATCGCCATCAGCATTGTAGGGGGGTTTAGTGTAGGGAAATTATCGCCATCAGCATGCATGCTCTCATGTTCATATTATCAAAGAAGCTGTTAGCGAAGAAGCTGAGATGGACTCCAGCAGCGCGGATACCGGTAAGAGGGACGGCACCAGTACAGCACTCCCAGATGATTTGATCAAGCGTGTTGACCGTCAAAAGATACCACCAGCCAATTACTCCATTTCTTTGCGGACGTTTGAGAACTTTGTCGAAACATGAAGTCTGCTCCTTTGTCTGAGATCAGAGTGGCCCTCTTGGGCCATGTCAGTGTTGGAAAGACTACAGTGCTGAATGCCATCTTGGGCGACAAATTTGGAGAAGTCTCCATGAGGCGAACCACCGCCGGCATCAACTTCTTTCGCATTGTACCCTCAACTTTGGCTACCACAGAAGAAAAAGATCAGGAAGAAATCAAGCCTGCTGACAAGGTACATGAAGAAATTGAGGCATCCAACAAAAAGCTTCGGGAATCACAGCAGATTGAGGAGAAGTGGTTCACCATTCAGATTGACAAGCAACTCTGTGAGATGCGCGAGAAAACTTCACTTGTCATGGTGGACATTCCAGGGATCAATGAAGCTGATACCAACAGCATCTACATGAACTATGTACAGGAGAACTGGAAGGACTTTGACTGTGTGATTGTAATCATGGATGCCAGACAGGGTGTCAATACAGAAGAGCAAGTTGGCTTGCTGCGCCTAGTGAAGGAGAATCTAGCTGCTAAGAAGCATGTGCCAGTCATCGTTATGTTCAACAAAGTGGATGATCCTGATGATAAGGAACAAGCAGTCCTCGTGAAGGAATCCCAAGACAAGATTGCAAAGATGTTTGCTGTTGGTTGTCGGGATCAGGCTCTCAAACAGCTGCCAAAGCTGTCGGGAAAGAAAGGGGCAATGCACACAGTTTCTACATCTGATTTGTATCCGATAGTCATCCCTGTATCGGCCATCAGGGCATACTTCTACAGGGCTGCTTCCACACTTTCCTATGACAAGTTCAGGACAAAATTTGATCTGGAAATTGTTGACAAGATTGGCCGTGAAGAATTTGGGAGGAGGAAGTGGGAACGCATGCCATTGGAGAAGAAGTACAAGTCTCTGCATGATCTTGTGCTTGAGGGCTCTGAGAATGAGGAGGAAGGGGTCCTAGGCACAGGCTTTGACATTCTACTCTGTGCCTTGTCTGTGGCTGTTGGTGGCCACAAAACTCAGACAAAATTGCTACAAAGCCAAGTTGATATTGCACTTCAGTCGATACAGTTGGGGAAGCCTTCTTGCTCCATGTTTGAGTCGCTGTACAACAAGAGCAAAGCCTTTGAAAAGGATGTGGATGCAATCAAACAAGCCTTTTGGTCTAGATACAGACCTTGTGCAAAGAGTTCCCTTCAGGCATTCGGGAATGAACCAAAGCCTGAACTGCTGGCTGAGCCCGCAGCACTTCTAAAGGAGTATGCCTCCTTTGTTGCAGCTGTGGGTTGGGATCATGAACAGAAGCTTGTGAAGGAAGCCTCATGTGAGCTTGTCCGTGAACAACTGGGTGTCATAGTCAATGCCCAGGACTTGCAAGCAGCAGTGAATCTAGCAGCTAATAGATTCACCCTGGACAATCCACGGAATTGTGCGCGATGTCAACAGAAAAAGCCACCAGTGGGTCAAGAGCCTGCATGGAGCACTTTGTCACTCTATGATTGGATCACTATTTTTGAGTCATTACAACGATCCTTGTCCAATGAATTGTTTTCTCAGGAGTTAATTGCCCTTGGCATACTCCGGGACAGGTACTCATCCAGCCTGAGCTCATCTGGAGGACATGCATGTGAATGTAGCTCCTGCAACCGCATACACAACAATTCTAGCTATGGCTGCAGCGATCAAATGACCTGTCCTGGCTGTCGACACTCAATATCCAGGCCATCCAAGTGCCGCAAAAAGCACCATTACAGCAATGACCATTGGAATCTTCGATTTGAAGGGGGGAGTATCAAGGTTGTTGGCCATATGGCCACAATTCAGATTCCTTCATTGCCATCTGATGAAAACCATTGGGGGCATGTTGCTTGGAGTTGCAGCTCATTGATCGCAGCTCCTCTGAAGAATGCTCTATGAGACTCTTTGCTCACCACACCAAGAGCTTACACGGTACTACTCTTCCAATCGAGCAAGAAACGTGTGTGTAGCCTTGATCTAGCACTATGACATTACATACCCCGTACCATAATATGGAGCTCTCGTGAGTAGCGGTATAGTAGCTGTCATTCGCCCGTTGCAGAAGGATTGCTCTCTGGGCATGTTTGCGACGACTCCAGAATGCCATGTACCAGTCTTCTGTCGCTGCCTTGACGCAGGACGATTTGCCAGTTTCTAGGGTTCAACTGTGGTGATGATTTTTTGTTGTTCTGCCTTTTTGAAAGAGTTCATTGAATTATTTCAGGAGTTACTTGTTCTTGGCATGGTACGGGATACCTATGGATCGTCGTTGAAACCAAGGGCAGTTATTTATGAATGCAAAGCTTGCTACAACTGCAACCGCAGAAGTATTTTTATGTGCCCGGCTTGGCCGTAGTAGGAGTGGCAACAGACCAAACAAGTGCCGCAAAACTGATACCTGGAGAGTCTTTGTTGAAAATGGAAAGATTTTAACATGCCAGGTTGGCTGGCCAACATGCAGGTGCCATGCTTGACTTCAGATGAACAGCACTGGGGCCATGATGCCTGGAAATACAGCAAGGTGATAGAATCTGCTCCACAGAACGTTCCGTGAGACCCCATGCAAAGCATGGCTTTCTGAACCCTAGGGCCTGCAAGCACGAATTGCTTGGTGGAGTAAACTAAGATTGACAACCGCACGATTATGATCAAAAATGCTGCCCTACCCCATACCACAATAAAGACCATCGAGCTCCCAACGAGGAGCTTCCGTCTGTCTCTCGCTCTGTTCATATCAATGGTTTCCGTGTTTCCGCCCTGCTTGCGAGGATGATTGCTCTGTCGACCCCTTTGCTGTGGCGAGATCGTGCTTTGGAATTCAACGACTCCAGATCACCGTTGCTCAACGACTCCAAATCACCGGGTATCAAAGAATGATTCAATCTCTCCCCCCTGAGCGAAAAGTCGCTTGCAAGCAATATGCGCAATCCGATAGAAGTGTGTGACGCTCGCTCAGCCAGGAAGAAGATCGAGCCTTGAGCAACGCCACAATGAAGAAACTGCCATTTCTTACCAATGGTGGAGTGAATGAACGTGCGAGATGCAGACATGTATGCATACGGAGATGATGCCCAATGGTAGCTTCTTGACGAGACAACGCGTCAGTTAGTACCCGCGACCAGCTCAAGGTTCAGTTGCTCGCCGGTTCTATACAGGGTGGACGTTGCGTTGCCGAAGTTCGTTTTCGTGCTACCACTGCATGCCCACTACACGTGTACATTGCATGCCTTCTGCCTCATGCGCATAGATGGTTTCCCGAAAGCCTGCCAGCTGCATGCCAGCCATGAACTGTGCCGTGCTGTGCGTACCGGCATCAGATATTCTGGGTTTTGCTGTACCACCTCGCTGAACCAAATCTGCGGCAATTCTATGCATCTGATATCGCTCAAGAATGGCTCTATCCTCGAAACAGTCTACCATGTTCTTGCGGTCGTTCGCAGAATGCGGTAGACTGATCCTAAATGATGTTGTTTTGTACTTCAACACAGTTTACATCTTCGTCGCTGTGGAGTTTACGAGCACTCTTCGCTCTTGGATCCCTGATTTTTGTGACGGGGCTTCGAATGCATTCTTCTCAGTTTTTGAATTGTTCTACTGTAACTAAAACGGCACCCCTGCCACTTCTTACTCTTGCCACTTCTTCCCTGTTGTATCCAACTCTGCTGAAGATGGAGTCTGTTCCCTTGTCTGAGATCAAAGTTGCCATTCTAGGCCATGTGAGTGTTGGCAAGACTACAGTACTGAATGCCATCTTGGGCGACAAATTTGGAGAAGTCTCCATGCGTCGAACTACTGCAGGAATCAACTTCTTTCGCATTGTACCCTCAACAGAGGCTACCACAGAGCAGTTGTCCAAGGATTGGCTAAAGGAGGAGGGCATTAAGACTGCAGACAAGGTACATGAAGAAATTGAAGAGTCCAACAAAAAGCTTCGTGCAGCCCAGCAGATCGAGGAAAAGTGGTTCAATGTTGCTCGTGATCCACTTTGTGAGATGAGAGAAAACACTTCTCTGGTGCTTGTGGACATTCCTGGCATTAACGAAGCAGATTCCAACAGCATCTACATGAACTATGTGCAGACAAACTGGAAGAGCTTTGATTGTGTCGTTGTGGTCATGGATGCAAGACAAGGAGTCAATACAGAGGAGCAGGTTGGGCTACTTCGTCTTGTCAAAGAGAATCTCTCCAAAAAGAAGCCCCTTCCGGTTATTGTTCTTTTCAACAAGGTGGATGAGCCAGATGATACAGAGCAGGCACTCCTTGTGCAGGAGTCACAGAAGAAGATAGCCTCAATGTTTGGTGTTGGTTGTCGAGAAGAGGCAGTGAAACAGCTGCCAAAGTTGTCTGGCAAGAAGGGAGCAGCACATGCAATACCTATATCTGATTTGTACCCTGTAGTCATCCCTGTGTCTGCCATCAGAGCATTTTTCTACAGATCAGCCTCTAGCCTTTCATTTGAAGAGTTCAGGAAGAAGTTTGATAAGGAAATCGTTGACAAGATTGGCCGTGAAGAGTTGAGCAGGCACAAATGGAGGAAGATGTCCATCGACCAGAAATATAAAGCCCTGTATGATCTTGTGGTTGATGGTTCTGAGGACGACGAGGAAGTGACACAAGGCACAGGTTTTGATACATTCCTTTGTGCTCTCTCTGTTTCTGTTGGTGGCCATGAGACTCAAACCAAGCTGTTGCACACCCAACTTGATGCAGCTATTCAATCCATGAACAATCCATCATGCTCCCAGCTGAAGGCTCTCCACCAGAAGAGCAATGCAATCAATAAAGACATGGGAGATATCAAGAAGACTTTTTGGACAAAGTATGCATCCTGCAAGGAGGAAGCCCTTGAGACTCTCAGTGAGGGACCACGGGTTGAAGTCATGGCCCAACCAGCAGCTCTGTTGCATGAGTACTTTTCCTTTGCCACTTCTGTGGGGTGGAATGATGAAGCAAAGTTGGTGGAGAAATCCTTTGGTAAGCTCATCCATGAACAGCTTGGTGTTATTGTCAACAAACAGAACTTGGATTTGGCAGCAAAGGCACATCTATCAAGAGGTGGCATTGAAGACAACTGCCGACTTTGCAGCGACTGCAGGGGCACTGAGGACTCTGGCAAACCTCGAAAGAGAAAGCAGCTTGTCATGAGGGCTCGTTCAACAAGGAGGAAGAGCTACAGATCTGATGATGACGATTCTACGAGTTCAAAAAGGAGGAAGAGCAACAGGTCTGTTGATGACGATTCTGTAGTAATCTTAGATCACCAGCAAGAGTGCTACAAGCACGGCGAACTAACTTGGGATGCCCTGTCTCTCTATGATTGGATTGCGATATTTCAATCTTTCCTCCACACGATGCCCTTTGAGGTGTTGTCAGAAGACATACTAAAGATTGAGATGCTCAAGGATGAATATGTATCTCACTTGCCATCAACCATGATGAAACAATGTGAGTGCATTCACTGCTACAACAAGAACGAAGGCTCTTTCGGCGATGAGGATCTTGTCTGCAACTCTTGTGGAACTGATTTTGAAAGGGCAGACAAATGTCAAAAAACTATTCAGAAGGACAACTGGAAAGTTTACTCTGAAGGCGGTCGAACCAAAATTGTTGGTCGCCTGGCCAACATAGAGATTCCTTCTTCTCCCTTGGATAAAAAGCATTGGGGTCATGTTGCCTGGAGCTTTCGCAAGCTCACGGACTCTGCTCGCCAGCATGCTAGTGGCTAAGTCCTTGCGAAATGCGAAATGCCTCCACTGGCCACGGGGCTCAAAAGCGCACGTATGGATCTCCGGTAGTTCGGTAGAGCAAACATTTCAGTAATCTCTATTTATTTGTCACGGTATGTCTAAGGGTCTTCAATTCGAATCAAACCCTTTCGTTCGTAGCGTCAGCTGAGGTAACACAATTGATGTACCCATTATGTATGCTGAAGGAGCCACTCGTTTTCGTTTTTACGGCCGATTCGAAGGTTGCTCCTTTTTGATATGTTGGACAAGTTGCTCTTTGAGCGTCCGTATTATTATTTCCATGGACCGTTGCAGGGGTAACGCAAGTCCGTGCAAATAGCAGCATCGACGACGGAAGAAGCTGTTGGTTGCTGCCTTCTCTGCATAAATCCATTTGTCGCGTTTTTGCTACGCCAAAGAAAGCACAGAGCACTTTCACAACGTCCGAGTTGCTATCATAGCTCGGGGCAGCCCGCCATGCGTCATGATAGACCTTCCGTACGGAAACGATGACGCGTAAGGAACTGTTGTTGTCATTGACCGGGGTGCAGAGACTGGGTCAAGTCGAGTCTCTGGAGGATTTCCGCGGGGAGCCGAACCAGAATCGAAACTTGGTTGGGCTTTCCGCGAATGCTACGCAAACCATCTCTTCTTTTCACCTCTTGCAGCGATGATTCCCTTGAAACAGCCTCACTGGCCGCATGGAACCTTCTTCCTGGGAAAGAGCCGCGACGGGTGGCAGGGTCGTATCGAAAGTGAGATATGAAACGTAGATTGTTGAATCATTTACGAGTTGAAAATCGCAAAAGTGGCATCATAGTGGGGGAGCCGTCACAGTGATCAACTCCACAAAGAATCTTTGGATGCTTTATTGGCTCTTGTTGCTAGTTTTTTGTTGTTTTTGGTTCCAATCGGAAGGCACGGCCGATCGGATGGTTCAATAATCCAGGAGGGAACTCAAAGGACAGGACAAGGCCGTTTGTGCCCACAGCTTGCTGGTTGGTACAAAAGGAACCGCGAAGGAAAGCAAATGGTTTCGTGGAGATCATTTTCAATAATACTGCATCGATGGCTATCTATAGTCCTGCGTCCGACTGCCATGCCTGGCATCGTTCATTCTGCAGTCGGCTGGACAGCAAAAATGAAGAGTTTATGATTGATACGATGGAAGAAGCGTATATGTAGATCAGGTGAATAAATTCTTGAAAAAGGCTGCAAGGGCCACAGTCACAGGTTGACTGCATGCAAGTGCTGCCGGTACCGGTGCATGGCATGTTGAACTGCAAACATCCAAACTTAGCCCGCATCCTTCGTCTGCCAACAACAACAACAACGATGAGGAGCGAGGAGAAATCACCGCGAAAAGTCAATGAACCGTCGATACATACAGTCTCGGTACCATTCTGAACTTCTGTGGTGGCGTCGCGGATGCTGTGGCTCTCTTTGTTTCATCTTCATCTTGGTGTTGCCACTCCATCTTGCTATTGTTACGGGTACATAGGTCCCCTGCTTACCCCCCCCTTTATGGACTGTGCCCTGGCTTTTCTAAAGTTTGCCTTCGCCACAGCGGATAAATCAATATCTGTCTCCGTGGAAGCCAAACCCTTTGCCCCCTGTAATGGTCCTCAATTTCTTGCCCCTGATCCCACAGAACCAAGTCCTGAATTTCGACTGTTCTTTGCTTAAGCCTGGCCCCGGCTGGCTTCCGTAGATAATTTCCCTACTCTAAAAACCCCGTAAATATCTGGGTGGCTAAAAAGTTTGGGGGCCTTACCGTAATCACACATGTACTTTTCCTCTTTGCCCCCCCCGTCATAATCTGTTAGGACCATGCCCAAACCAAACCCTAACCCTCAGAAACGTGCTGAATGCCGATCCACCTCCACGGCGTGGAAGGGCGGTACCAGTACTAGCTAGTAATGGTACTGGTAGTCATTCGCTGACTGCATGCCGGCCCGGCCGCTCGAGCTCATCGCTTTGACGACGATGCTCTCATGCTTGTTCATTCAAAGCGATCGGCGCAGGCTGTTAGTTAGGACCACATGAACGGTCACGAAGGAAGGCAGTATCGCGCGCTACATATCGCTGCTCTTGTCGTACTAGCTAGCTAGTACTCGAAGCCACACAGCAAGTCTGGAGCTCTCACCCAAAAATCTGTGGCATTCCTGCCTAGCCGAGGACGTTTTGCTTGGCGGCTCAGATTTTCCGGTAATCAAAGAGTTTGGCGACATCCGCTCTTTGCAATGTGGTGAACATTGATGGACGTGTTGTATCACAATCATACCTGTAGCTCGAGCAGAAAGATCTCCTCGAGTGTACTAGCTACAGTAGTAGTTCGTTTTCGCAGCAAGCCCCGCCAGCATAGCATCAATCTCACAATGAAGTTTGGTCCCTGGTCTGAGATCAAAGTAGCCCTCCTGGGCCATGTGAGTGTTGGAAAGACTACAGTGTTGAATGCTATCTTAGGTGACCAGTTTGGAGAAGTCTCCATGAGGCGAACCACTGCTGGCATCAACTTCTTTCGCATTGTCTCATCCGATGAGGCTACAGGAGAGTCCGACAAGTGGTCAGTTGCTGGGCAAAAGGAGGACATCAAGGCTGCAGACAAGATACATCAAGAGATTTCAAAATCCAACAAAAAGCTCCGAGAAGCCCAAAAGATTGAAGAAAAGTGGTTCAATGTGGGCTGCAAGCCACTGTGTGAGATGCGCAAGGAGACATCCCTTGTTGTTGTCGACATCCCGGGGATCAATGAGGCTGATTCCAACAACATCTACATGAACTATGTTCAGGAGAACTGGAAGACGTTTGATTGTGTGGTGGTTGTGATGGATGCTAGGCAAGGTGTCAATACAGAAGAGCAGGTGGGCCTACTTCGCTTCGTGAAGGATAATCTTTCTAAGAAGAAGAACCTACCAGTGATTGTCCTTTTTAACAAGGTGGATGAGCCAGATGATACAGAGCAGGCACTCCTTGTCAAGGAATCCCAAGCTAAGATATCATCCATGTTTGGCGTTGGTTGTCGTGCAAAAGCACTGAAGCAGCTGCCAACACTGTCAGGCAAGAAGGGGGTAAAACATTCAGTACCCACATCCAAGTTGTATCCTGTGGTCATCCCTGTATCAGCTATCAGAGCATATTTCTACAGAGCTGCATCCAGCCTTCCTTTTGAAGAGTTCAGAAAGAAGTTTGACCAGGACATCATTGAAAAGATTGGCCGTGAAGAAATGAATAGGAACAAGTGGAGGAAGATGTCTGTTGACAAAAAGTACAAAGCCCTCTATGATCTTGTAGTTGAGGGATCGGAGGATGAAGAGGATGGGATACAAGGCACAGGATTTGACACATTCCTTTGTGCTCTCTCTGTCTCTGTTGGTGGTCAGGAGACTCAAACAAAACTACTGCAAAACCAAGTTGACATTGCTCTCCAGTCCTTTCAAGATGAGAAGCCTTCTTGCTCTCAGTTCATGGCTCTCCATGAGACAAGCAAGGCCCTTGATAAAGACATGGGAGCCATCAAGCGGGCTTTTTGGACCAAGTATACATCCTGCAAAGAATCTTCCCTTGATGCCTTCAGGAAGGAACCAAAGGTTGAGGTGATGGCTGAACCAGTAGCCCTCTTGAAGGAATACTCTTCCTTTGTCACTTCTGTGGTGTGGGAAGATGAAGCAAAACTTGTGGCGAAGTCCTTTTATGATCTTGTCAGTGAACAAATTGGTGTCATTGTCAACAAGCAGGACTTGCAATCAGCAGTAATGATTGGTGAAACAGGCACTTGCAACAGCTTTTGGGAAGAAAATTGTCCCAGCTGTGATGGCCAACCAGTAGCGCAAAGCCAGCAGGAAGGAGACACAAAAGATGGAACCTGGGGGAGCTTTTCAGTGTATGACTGGGTCACGATATTTGAGTCTGTGAAACAAAATCTGCCTAGTAGTCCATTTTCTCAGGAGTTGATTGTCCTTGGCATTCTGAAAGACAAGTATGCATCTAGTCTGGGCACATCAAAGCTTGTCAAATGTGCTTGCTCAACCTGCTACAATGAGCTACAACGTCTTTCAGGTTCAAATGGTAGAAAAACGATCTCTGGCCGTCGCTACCGATGCGGATGTCGTTATCCAGGATCAAACAAATGCCAAAAGACCCATCATAGCAAAGAAGGATGGGATGTCTCCTTTGATCGTGGCAAGTTGAAGGTTGTTGGAAGTTTAGCCAATGTCCAGGTCCCCTCTACTCCTTCAGATAAACAGCACTGGGGCCATGTTGCTTGGTGTTGCAAGAACCAGATGGAATCAGAGGGTCAGCCTTGAAATTAGGAGTGTGGTTATGACTGCCTCCTGATGCACGTCCTTGAAGTTTTAACAGCATGGATCCGCAGTTGCAGAACAACTTGATGTGATGGCCCCGTACGAAACTGGTTACCATGTGCTGGCGCAGGCATGTATAAGCTGTAGTTCAATAATAGTCATTATAGAAAAATGCGTTTGAGTTAAGAGCAACTATGCCAGTAATAGCATGTCGCCAGCCTTGTACATGTTGTAGTGCATCTCTGCTATGCGAGAAGGAGCGGTTTGCTTCAGGTGTGCTACAGGCGTATCCTAGCAATATGACATAGTGTCGGGCATCGATCGTTCGAGTCAACAAATGCTGCCGTCATTACTTGTCAAGAGAAGTTGTAACACACGCTCCCGTACGGTACACTGCTATCAACAGGAGCGAACAGCCTCTAGAGGTCGGTGTCAAGAGGAAGAGCACAGTGCCTCTTGTCATTGCTGAGGGTTTTGGGTTTCTAGCACTGCGTGCATAGCTTCGTATTCTAATTTGATCCCAACAGCCCCAAAAGTTGCACCACAGCTTCTTCGTAGGAACAGTCCTTGGGCTGCGCAATCCATTCCAGCTTGCCGTGGGCGTCCACGAGGTACAACCGAAGCGGCCAGGGTGCATATGCCGTTTCAAACGGATCTCCCTGCTCGGGATCATCGACCAATAGTTCCACGACAGTCTTGTTTGTCGCATCCATCATGTCAAAATGCTTTGCAAATTGTCGTGCCAACTGGCATCGTTCGGCCGCCAACGTGGGTTGTTTCTCAATTAGGACGGGACCCGTTTTGTTGAACCGTCCCGACGTGACGGGCCACTCATCCATGGCATGCGCTTCGGCAATGTAGACCATTTTCCATGCCACATTGTTGTAGTCGTTGCTGTTCGATACTTGGTAGAGAGCCGGTCCCAAGTAGCGAAAGGGGGGTCACGACCACGAGCCAGCGACAATGACAGTGCGCTGATGATTGCCGGCATCGAAGAGTGTCGTGGCCGAATTGTCGTGGGCTCGTCGCAGCGAAATGTTGGGAGCGACATCTCCCACGCGGAGCGTCCCTTGTCGTGCCCGATTGTACTTGACCCAAAAGGCTATTTCCGGGTGCCGAAGGGCGGCCAAACGAAGCTCGTGAACCGTCACCTTCTTTGAGCCACCAACAGCAGAATTATTGTGTTGCCGAACCACTTGGTGTTGGATTTTGGTGGCCACATCCATCCATTCAGAATGGGCCCATTTCTCAGCCAGTTCCATTTCTTTTTGAGATGCCGGCGACACGCGCAAATCTCGTTCGCGTTGGAGTAACTGGACCAAGATTTCTTCCATGGCTGGGTCCACATTGGTTTTCGTGGATGAGGGTGGCGCCGTTGTCATGCAACCACCCTGACGAGAGCAGGAGTTCTCTTTCTCTTCCGCAGCGAGATTCTCTTCCTGGGCACCCGTCTCTCCATCCTTGGCTTTCATCTGCTGTCCTTGCAGACATGGTTTCTTGGATGACACGGTTCTCTTCATAGATCCATCGTCATCCGTCTTCTCTTCCTCGGCGTTGACAGCATCCATCATCAAACGGCAACGCTTTGCCGCGGAAGAAGCGTCTTCCATCCTCCTCCTAGTCCTTTCCACGCCTTGGACAGGGCTCTCCTTGTCTCTCTGGTCTATTGGATATGGTATGGTAGCAGGCGACGGGCACTCGGCCATGGCGATGAGGATCCGATGGAGTTTTGTGTTTGTGAGGTTCCCAAAACCTGAACCTTAGTGTGTTTTGCTTGTCACAACTTTCGCATTGGCTTTTTGGGCGACGAAGCCAAATCACAAACCAAACCACAGAACCTGCTGTAAGCAACCCTTGTGGTACCGGTAGCATCTCTCTCTGTCTCGTTCGCTTTCTTTGTCGTCATCATCATCATCATGAGCTGTGTTACTGTCAACACGGCACCAGCCATTCGAGTGGAGATCTTTCAAGCTTCCAATCGACCTGCCACGGCCTCCCGCCAAAATATGGATCCAATGGCGGTGCTCCAAGTCCCATTCCAAGAATCCATGACACTTCTGAGTCTCTTGCAGGAAACCCGTCGAGGACTGTGTCAAAGTGAGCGGAATATTTTTGTGGACAACGAGTTTTCCGTCCCCGTCACGGTCGACAGCATCCTTGCCGTGGACTCTATGGAAGAAGAGCAAGGCAAACGTGGCATTCGAGATGGCGACACCGTAGTCTTGGTACCGTCCTGTCGTCAAGGTGGTTTCCATCTGGCTTGTCTGCCAGAAAACGTGGAAGAGAAGAGCGAGAAAATATTTGACAAGCTGTCCTCGCAATTGGGATCTTACCATTTGCGAACTGGCGTGACACTCCATTCCAAGCCGGCAATTTCCGCTATTCAAATAGAACATCGTGGCACTGAATACACATTTTTCCTTCCCGGAAATGGTGAACGCAAGCAGGTAGAAGACTTGGAAAACCACGTCACCCTTCCCGACTTTAAAATAAGGACTTTCCTGTATAAGGTATGATCGAGACTGTTGGAGGAAAATTGTTGGCCGATTTTCTACCACTCTCACTCATCATGTTTTGCTGTGTACAGGTTCAGGAAGCAGTTCCTCTGGTGAAAAAGGAAACAGTAATAATTCGTCTCAACTCTCCCAACTCGACCATCCGCTCTCCCGCTTTTTTGGACTTTGGCAACCTCAAAAGTAAAGATGCTTCTCTCCACGATTTGAATCTTCCAGGTCCACTCTTGAAGGGCCAAGTAGAGATGAAGAAGACCTTGCAAATCTTTGTGACGAATTTTAAAGGGGGGATCGGCACCTACAGAGTCAATCACACTGACAGCATAGATGTCCTCAAAAAAAGAGTCTACGAGAAGGAAAAGATTCCACCCGACCAGCAACGTTTAATATTTGCGGGCAAGCAACTTGAGGATGGGCGGCTCTTGTGCGAGTACAACATTCAAGATGAATGTACTATTCACCTTACAGTGCGACTTCGAGGCGGCATGTATGATGTCTCCTCGGGTCGTGTGGACAATGAAACCTTGCAAGAACAGCCACAAAGCAAGAAGCCTTCCGTGGAGACCAAATTGCTCTTGCCAGATGGCAGCTTGGAACGCATCCGAGTTGACCCTCGGTGCACTACCGCCAAGCTCACGTCTTTGCTTGCCCGTAAGTTTGGGGCTCTTTTCTGTGACAAGGCCAATCCCGTCATGGACGTGGAAGATGGCAACAACGGCAAATATTTCGGAACTGGCGGAGACAAGTCCAACAAGTCATTGCTTGCTTTGAAACAGAAAGCATCTGGAAAGGGAATCATCCAAAAGGAAAATGCTGTGGAGCGGCTCCAATCTCGGCTTGATGAGGGGCTTATGATTCGTCCCCGAAAAAAGGTCAAGCGGGAACCGTTCATGTAAGATGCCAACTTGGCTGGCCGAACCCGGGCTCCATCGATTGCGCTCCCTACGGTAGTAGCCCCAACCGACAATGAAGAAAGTCACAATCCACATTACAAGGCAACTCATAATCCACACTAGACAATAAACCACAGTTGAATCAATACGTCTTGATTGCTCTACTACATGTACGCCGAAACTCACCCCGCCCTCGTCTCGTTGACGCGCTCTAATCCCGTCGTATCAGCATTCTAGCAGACCAAAACTTCACCTCTCCCTCGTTCCCGTCGACTTGGCCCTCCCTGATTTTCCTCTTGAGATTCGGAAGCCAACAACTAACCAGCTTGCCCCAGACACTGTCACTTCAGACCAAAGAAGGTAGGAGTCCGGCGCCCGAAGGGAGTCACGAAGTGACTCTACCAACGTACATGTAGTGCTAGATTTGACCACGGGATGACATTGGGGCTATGGCTCATGGCTCATGGCTCCCAGGCTATTGGAACCAGTGGATGAGTAAGGCTGGAGTCACCTTAAAAGCTCGGGAACCGATATCCTACTGTATCTACTTTGCAAGGGTACCGGGAATCTTTGATCTATTATACGTTAGATTTTGGCACTGTGGATGGGTTGGACTTGGTCCTTACGAGATTGGTTTGGACCAAGGTTCCATCAGGAAGTGCAGTAATGATTGGGGCTCTTCCTTTCAAGTTGTCCAACTCCCGGGCAACTTCAAAAGCACTCATTCCCATGCAGTCTTTGCTGTCAATTTTAATAATGGAATGTCCAGGAGCAATCTTGGATTTTGCCAGCGGAGATCCTTGGTAGACGCGAGAAATGACAATGGATCCAGTACCTGTTTCCTCGATGATTCTGATTCCATAGGGCAAGCAAACGATGCCTTCTCTCCTTGTCCTTCTGGAAACATTCCTTTTTGATTCCTGCTTTGGTTGGGTTGGTACCGGTATAGATGCCAGGATTGTGATCTTCCCCACCGCTCCAGTCAAAAGTTGCGCTACCTCCACAGTGTTTAGGTGTTCACATCGGATGTTGTTGATGGCGCAAACCAACATACCTGGATGCAAGGATGTTCCAGAAGCGACGCTTCCTGGGATCACCTTATTGATTCTAGTTTCGCCATTGCGAGTTTCGGAAAGAACCAATCCAGTTCCGACTGATGCTTTGTGCTTCATGAATGTCACGGACTTGTATGTCGGCCTAATCTCATTGTCCGAAAACTCGCCTGAAGAATTAGATGTCAAGCTATTGATGCTGGAGGTAGAGTCCGACAAATAGTTAGCGTTTTGTTCAAGCTTGTAGATGGCCATGTTGATTGATTTGGTTTGCTGTGTTCTTGTTTTATAACTTTTGCGAAGCAAGCTCTGGAGTGGAACTCGACACGGCATTGGTCGGTTGAACTGTCGCTGTTGAAGCTGTTGTGATGTTTGCTGTCAATCATGCTTGATGCTTGCACGCATCCTCTGTGTTCCGAAATCACTCTTGCTTTTGTGGGATTCAGATCCTAAGCGAACCAGACTCGACTCGACTCGACTCATTCACTCGACTTGACTTACTCGACTCAACCACTTACTGTGCGTATGTACCGGTAACATGTCCGATTAGCTACCGGTATCTCGGGCACACGTTTCGTCCATACAGGTAGACTGTGAGATCTTCACACGATAAGTTCTTGAATCGATATCTTGTGGGCTACTCGAGAGCTACTTTCAGTGACCTACAACATCAGCTCATGTGGACTAGCCTGTGACTGTGCCTATGGTGCTAGAGCTAGAAGGCACACCAAGTTGGGCTTTGAAGCAGCATTACTAGTGTTATTGCTCTAAAGTAAGTGGGCTGCTTCTTCACAAAGATCGATCGATCCAAGAAAAGAACAAAAGTGAGGAATCGGGGCTGCAGCAGAGGTGCATGCGCCCTTTTCGCGCGAAGCTTCACTACATGGTCCCGGTTACGGTACCTGGTACTGTACCACACCCCAATCACATAGTACATGCAATCAAGGGCGTTATGTAATAGGAGTGCCCACCATGGTGATCAAAGGGGGGTTTAGAGTAGTACTGTACGGTATGGAGATTATTTATGGAAGCCATCGGGGCCAGGCTTAATAAGCAAAGAAGAGTCGAAATTCAGGACTAGCTAGGTTCCATGGGATCAGGGGGCAGAAATTGAGGACCATTATAGGGGCCAAAGGGTTTGGCTTTGCTGGATCCACAGAGACATAAATGGGTAGCTTATATGGGCCATGATAGCTGTGGCAATAGAGGCAAACATTGCGACTGGATTTACCATTGTGTGTTCTGGGATGTGTCTTTTGGGTCCACAGCCCAAACAAGAACTTTGTGAGATGACTGCTGGTTTTCCCTTTATACAGTAGGATCATTCTATCAAGGACAGGGCATTAATTGATTTACTTTGTGGAAGCAACAAAAGCAGTGTATGGCACTACAAAACAACATCTGATTTCTGGTACATGAAAACACAAACAGTGCTCCAGAACTGTGGAAGGCCCCCACGCTTTGGGTTTGCCACCTTGACTGGCTGTGGGTTGTTGACTCTTGATTGTGAACGCAAGGTTAAGTAAAGTCATAACCTGAGCGTACCACTTCCTGTAAAATCATAACCTGAGTTGCTTGTGGCCGGATATGTGGAACTATTGACTCTGGTTCCTGTAAAATCATGATCTGAGTTGCTTGTGGCCTGATATGTCGTATTATTGGCATCATCAGTTTCTCCCATGAGGGGCTCCCTGTCATTGTCATCATCCCATTCGTGCTGTTGACTTCTGTCGGGGCAGCACCAATCAATCCATCCCTTCAACCATACCCTAATATGACTTTCAAAATAGCAAATGAAACAAATCAGAAAGAGGAAGGCCCATTCCACGACTTCACGATACATCACTTCCTCCTTGGACCCTTCACACAGGCATTCCCAGCTCGTCATTTGACATTCCGACTCTACTGGGCAACAGCAAGAAGATCCGTCATATTGGTAGTTATCGTCACTGCTTGCAACGATTCCACAGTATTTCCCGGGTCCACCTTTGTAGGCTTGAGAGCAATCCCCATCATTGTGGCACTTGCGACATTCATGATATGGATACAGAATTGGAAACAGTTTGTCGTCGTGTCCCATGCGTGAGCGAAAGTAATCCACTATATACAGGATGACAATGATGAGGAGGATGGAGCCTCCAAAAAATATTAAGAACATCGAGAGACATTGGCAACAAAGGTCACATGTGTCTGTGAGGCAGAGGCCAAGATTGGACCGAAAGGATCTCCGCCTGGTGTCAGTATACATGAATGGTCTGGTTTAGTTTTAGACTTCGGGAAGTTTGTGGTTTGGTTGGAAGAGTGAGAGATTGAGAGTCTCAGTTGGTGTTACGGGTTACGGTGTCTGGTCACTGCTGGACAGACGATTTGAAATGTTTGCGATTTTCTAAAGGGCGAAGGTGGGGTTTGAAGTTGTAAGGAATTATACTAGTAAGAGGTATCTAATGCTTTCTAATTGAAAGATAATTGAAGCTATAAAGAATGGGAGACTTTGAAAATTTAAAAAAGGGAGCTTTGGAGCGAGAGTTGTAAAATTTAATTTTAAATGTGTAAAATTTAAGCCGTGACAAGGGAGAATTTGCAAAACCGTTGGCAGGTTCGGCTCTACCGGTAGCTAGGTCCACAAATAAATTGAGGGGGGACACGGGGGCCAACGACAGAGATTGCTCTCTGAACTTTCCAAGACGGTCAAGTCAGGAGTAATAGAAATCTATTTTAGGCTACTCTGAGTACCACTTGTTTACCGTGCCACTACCCTATCCAGATAACCCCACAGTCATTGGGTCGGTGGCCCCCTCAGCGTGGCGATTTGGGGGCGTCTGCTGTACTGTGGTTGCATTCCATTGCTTTCGATGAATGACGAGTTGGAATGTAAATGTTCCCGGTCGAATTGGGCTCGCACTTGGTGGAAAAGCTGTCGTGGTACGCCAGTAACCCTCCCTACCTCCTCGCATTTGTCATTGACAGTACGGTACCGATACTGGTACCAGAAACGTCGTATTTTAAAATAGTGTAGAAGCAGCACCATGGTCCCAACATCTGTCTGATGAGCTGCAACATACATTGCTACGGTACGGTACGGTAAGGTACGGTAAAGTACTCTCTATTCACTCCAGCCCTAAAAACCAAAAGCTCAGTATCGGAAAAACTGTACTTTAGTACATAAGCACCGGTCCACGTGTCACGTGTTAAGTACGATCCTGCCGTACCTGGAGCCAAAAATTCCTAGAGAAGCCGCCACATTTTGCACCAGTTTCCCATCTACCTTTGTCGAACTCGGCACGATGGACTCGCAGCAACCTGGGATTAGAAAGGACTCAAGATCGAGAGCAAGTGTGTGAACACTGCATGTTGTCCTCCTCCTCCTGTCTCTTGTGGAGTGAAGCCCTACTTCAACAATTAACACCCAACGAATAGAATCGGTGAACTGACTGTGGAAAGATACTCCAGCCACCATGAGGGCAAGGCTATCGAGGATAGCCTTGTGGTGGTCGTTGCTGCGGTTGACTAGTCTCGTCGAGCATGTCACTTGCAATGATTTCCGAGGAGGTGGTAACAAGAGGAGGGTTCTGTCGCTACCGTTGGATAGTGACGATGAGTCGCGCCTGGTATCCGCTAGCTCCGTGAGAGGTCAACGACTGCGAAGACAGCAACAAGTACCATCCTTTGAGAATCGAGTGGGGAAGAACTCAGCGCGAAAACGAAAGAAAAAGAAAAGCAGAAGTAGCAAGGTATGGTTTTGGAAATTGCTTGTGGCTTTTCTTGGGTTTCAGTGACGCCAACATTGCCTTCTTTTGCTTCCTCCTATTCTCAATCGTACAGAAATCATCAAAGAAAATGACCAAGGTATGTTTCTAGTTGGAGCGACTAGCAGCAGATCCTCTCTGAGCGGACTGATGTCTCATCTTTCCCTTTTATGTGAATCGAATCTCTAACCGTACCACGTATTAGTTAAAGAAAAAGCCTTCAAAGGGCAGTCGATCGTCCTCGTATGATTCGGAATTTCTACAACAAGACGATTTCAACTCGGCTCAATCCGAATATCCGGTTTTGGCCATGGAGGATCAGGGTGTCGATACCAGTGAATGCCAGAATGCACTTCCCATACAACCTGGAGAAACGGTCCGTGCCGAAGCTACCCATGTGGTGGACTTCGGAACGGATATCATGGATGACTGCGACGGTGGCTACGAACTCGAGAATCCCTTTGTCGAGGTATTGGGGATTTGGTTTGCCATCGAGGGCACAGGTCAAATGCTAAAGGCATCGTCATGTCCAGCTCTCATCTCGGTCTATCAGGGGATGGATTGTGGTAGCCTGGTCTGTGCTCCAAGCAGTCTTGCAAGTCCCCTAGGTTGCCAAGTGGAATGGGTGTCCTCGGAAATTGGGCAAATCGACTACATTTTGGTCCAAACCATTCAATTTACTGATGGACCAGGATTCGAAGTTCCAATAGACCTGACCGTGGAGGAAAGTAAGATTGAGCACGAGGAGGAACATAGTCCCGTGATGGCACAAGAGCTCACAATTGCAGAGGTGCAAGAACAAGATATAAGCAGCAACGATAATAACGACAGCGAGGAATCAAACTTCAACAGTGACAACGAAGGCGACAGCGTCAATGCTCGACCGACGCTACGCTTGAATGACAAAGACGTGCAACACTGTCAGCAAACAAACAGTAAGGCAAGGATTGGAGACACCACTGAAGTGCTCGTGTTGAGGCCCATGAGCAACACCATTGGCTACTGTGATGAAGGGATTGGAGATGGCATCAATTTAGACGATGTCGACGTGCAGGTTCTGGGGACATGGTTTTCAGTTTTGGGAACAGGGGGTGTGCTGCGGGCGTCGACTTGCCCTGCGCAAGTGACAATCTTCACCGGGGATAGTTGCGGCAGTTTGAAATGTACAGAGTTGGTTTACGACCAGTTTGGCTGTCATGTGGACTGGGCGTCCGAGGAGGGTCGAACTGACTTTCTTCTCATTCAAAGCCTTGAATTTGACAGTGAAGAAGATGGATTCACGTCTCACGTTTCTCTGACCCTAGTAGATCTGGACGTGTCAGAAGACGCTAGCAGTGGAGGAACTACAATTCAAGTCATAAAGCCGGGAGAGGAAACGGAAGACAACAATGGAGAGGGAACGGGAGGAAGCTTAAGTGCTATTGAAGGCACCAAACCCGGAGACGAAATTCAAGAAGATGAGTCACAGAACACGGGAGGTACTACGTTTGATGAAATGGCAGGACCAGATGAGTCAGGTGGCGAAGGAACCACACTTGAGATCATCAGCGGCCCCGGACAAGCGCAAGATTCTGAAGGAACTACATTCGAAGTTATTTCAGGAGCATCAGAAGATCCTTACGCCGTTGTCTTAGACAGCCACCACGACCAATGCCAAAAAGCACAGGAAGTTCAACCTGGCAAAACAGTGTTTTCTACGGCTGTGCAACTGGTCGGCGATCTAGTAGAGTGTGAACATCGAGTCAGCTTTCAGGGGTTGGGTGTGCCCGTCTTGGGGGCATGGTTCAGTGTGGCCGCTACTGGCGGTCCTCTTAGGGCAAAGGCCTGCCCGGCCAGGATAACCATCTACCAAGGCATATCATGCTACGACTTGGCTTGTACCGCAGACGAAATCAACGAATTTGGCTGCGAAGTTGAGTGGACGTCTTCCAGGAATGGGCAGCTGGACTACATTCTGGTTCAGACTATTGCCTTGGATGTTCAAGATCATGAATTTTCCTTTCCTGTATCGCTACAAATAGACGAACCAAGTGTACAGCGTTCGCTACCCATTGGATCACCCGAGGGACAAGTCATGAAGCATTGCACTGACGCAGAATCGATTTCTCTTGGAGCAAGAGTTGTTGTTCCCCTGGACCAACCTATTGGAGATGCATTGAATTGCGCTGGTGTTGCAGCCGCGGACGAACACAGCTTTGGTTCGTGGTTTACAATGACCGCTTCAAGCGACAGTGAGCTTCGAGCTTCCGCATGTCCGACTGAGGTGCTGATATCTATCTACGAGGGGGTATGCGGAAACTTGCGCTGTGTAGAAACGGACATCGGGTGCGACGTGAACTGGAGGCCTTCAGCCGGACGCGGAGTCAGCCAGTTCATCCTTGTGAGCACTGCACAGCAGAGTGCTGGTGCTAGTCGACAAACGACGCTGATACTAGAGGAGACATGATGATCCCATCCTTTCCCAATGTTCCAAGGCTTGACAAGGTGGGATTTCCTGCATCTTGCTGTGTATCTGCGAGACCAACTCATCATCATGGCCGGCCCGAAATGTTGTGTCTCGCCCTGGAGCGTGGATTATCCACGGGCGGCTTTACATGCATCGTCGCTACCAATAAAACAAGAATCAATGCAATTGAGGGCAGGTGTCTGGATGCATCTTCGTCTTCTTGAAGATCTCTTGCCATGGTAGGACATCTGCTGAAACATTTGGCTGATTGTAAGCATGTTCCTGGTACGTTAGTCTTTGTTTCGCTTATCAGACCTTCGCAGCTTCTTTCCAGGGTATCACGAAAGGTCATCGGAGAACAGTGTAATCAAGCAAACATAAACGGGATATGTTGACAGGAGGAGATGACTGTGCAACCCATCTTGCGAAACTCCTTGTCAATAAAAATATGTGCAGCAGCCCGAAAGCCAACGTAGCTCCATGCTGCGACTGCCAACATCGGTTTCAACCTTGCATTCTTCCAAAACCACCCAGAACCCAAAGAAACCGAAGAATGTACATGTGGGCATCCATTCAACATGTAGAGAGTAGATTCCCAACAGCCCGGTATGCTTTTGCATGTCGCGATCGAAAGCCCTTATAACCTGGCCTGAAAGTAAAGCTTCTTTTGCGTGTACACCTGAAGCACAATTGCTAGTGTAGAGACACAAACATAGGAAGCGGTAATACGACAGGCAGCAAAGGACGTCACTGTTGCAGATTCAACGAGCCTCGATGACATCCTTTCTGGCTGGTAGCTGGGTACCCTACCTAGTAGCTAGGAGCCAAATGACTGCACCTGGCTGATCTCGCCAAAGAAAATTCCACAAGGGTCCTAGCATGCTGGCATCGGATGGTTGGCCAAGCACCACTTGTAGTTTGTCAACTGGGTGGTCGGAGACAAAATGAGTGACAGTCGAGCCAAGGGGCGATCAATGTATTTTGGTCGACTCCTGCGCGCGTTGGCCATAAAAACTTTTTCCAGGTTCGAGGCCAAAAACTCTGTTTTCGGCGCAGACCGAAGACCAACAAAATTCAGGCCCCAACCAAGAACAACGAACATGACAATGAGGAAGTGAGAGATCATCATCATCTCGAACGCAACTACTGAATATCGAACCATGAGAGTGACGTGGAGAATACACATCCTTTTCCCCATGCTCCTTTGGCTGCTCGCAGTAGCGATTGTTGACTCGAGGGATCACTCCAGTTCCAGAGTGAGAGGTCGTTTACGAGGCCACCGACGGAGAACGCAAACTATCAAGGGCATGGGGGGCAGCAGCTCTAGCGGTGACAAGTCAACAAGAGGTGTTTACATGGGGAAACTCGGTACTAAAAAAAAGAAAAAGAGATCTGTTATCAAAGAAGCCAAAACGATGGTAAGGAACCTTCGAGCTGTGAGTGTCGTATCGTTTGCCATCACCTCCAGATGCACACAACTTGTCCCTAACCTGTCACATTATCTACCCAAGGCACACAAAATTCGAAAATCGTTCAAAGCGGTATGTTCAGAGATGAAGAATGTAACTGTTGCTGTTTGCACGATTCCCTTGCTCATTGCCTCCGTCCTTCGTTCTCCGAATTGTTGCAGTATGCGAAGGTTCCTGATTCACACAAACACACGATGAGAATGGGCAAAGGTATGAGCTCAACTGGGATGAGCATGAACAAGAATAGTATGATGGGCTCTAGCAGTAAGAGCTCCACGTACCAAGACTCCTATTCTGGAAGCTCGCCGACCTTTTCTCCGCTGGGAGACTCGATTGACGGAGGAGCGGTGGTGCCAATAGACGGGCAAGTCAACGAAGACACGGTAGAAGGCTATGGAGCGCCTGATGAGCCCCCGGGAGAGACAACAAACAATCAGCTACCAGTACCGGTAGAAGGTGAGCCATCAAACGACCAAGGACATGACAATAACCAAGGAGACGAGGAAGGTCTCACCTTAGTAATCATTGATCCAGACGATCCATTCGGAGTCTTTGATTGCAGTGTTGCGTATGAGCTGGACTTGAACGAAGTTGTCGTCGTCGATCCACCCGAAGCCGATATCAGTCATGTCCAGGATTGTGCTGGCGGGTACACCACGGAAGATCTAAACACCCACGCAAGGGGGACTTGGTACAGAATTGAAGGTACTGGAAACCTGCTGAAGGCCCATTCGTGCCCGGGATTGCTTTCAGTTTACCAAGGAGAGTGCGACGAGCTGACCTGTGCCGAAAGTCGAATCAACCGGCTTGGTTGTCAAGTAGAGTGGATGTCCAAACCCGGGGAACACTATTACCTTTTGGTGCAGAGCACTGTGCATTTATTGGGGACGGAGGACGAGGGCTTCAATATTGAGATCGAGCTGGTTGTGGAAGAGCGAGAAAAGTCGTCCTCTGATGGCACTGATGACATCTTCTTGCCGGGAGACGAGAGTCCTAGCGGGGATGAGGACATTTTTACCGACGAGTGCAAAAACAATGCCAGGCCTGCTCCGATTGACGACTCCGTCATTGCTACCTTTCAGTTCTCCATTCATGATGACTACTCACCATGCGGAAACGCCATCACTTCGCCATTTGATACAAGCATTCGAGGAGCTTGGTTCACTGTTCAAGGCGAGGGGCAAACTTTACGAGCATCGTCATGTCCTTTCACGCTCTCTGTCTTCGAAGGAGCATGCAACGACTTGGCGTGTGCCGAGGGACAGCACAGCGATGCTTTGGCATGCGATTTCGAATGGAAAAGTTCAGACAATGGCCTCAACTATATTCTAGTGCAAAATACAGTTGCTGGGGTGGTGTACGACGGTCCGTTCGATCTATCTATTCATACTGTTGTCGAGCTTCCACCTACAGAGATCCCATCCTTTGGTCCTGACACTCCTAACCCAACCTTCCAGCCAGACACTCCAAATCCAACCTTCCAGCCAGACACTCCCAGCCCAACCTTCCAGCAAGACACCCCAAACCCAACCTTCCAGCAAGACACGCCTAGCCCAAGTTTCACACCCGGCACAACGCCAAACCCAACTTTTCTACCCACGCCAGATACAGATACCCCATCTATGATAATGCCAGATCAGCCCACAGTTGCACCTAACGCCCTTCCTGAAACTGAGTTTCCAACTTTTGCGCCAATGCCAGTTACCGACATCCCTACCTTTTCTCCAGGGACAGACTCACCGTCCTTTGGACCAGCAATACAACCTGTTGCACTGTCTCCAGAAGCTGCCCCTGCCACAACAGCGCCATCATTTGATATCACCATGGCTCCTACTGACGATGATGGAGACGATGTGTTCGTTGAGGAGTGCTTGACCAACAGTGCATTCGTAGAGATTGGGGAAACGATCACCACGGACTTTCGGTTTCCACTGAGTGAAGACTTTGTCCCCTGCGAGATCGAGACATCGCCGACAAAACGAAAAGTCATTCGGGCCACATGGTTTACAGTGATTGGGGATGGAAACGTCTTAATTGCGGATTCGTGCCCGTATCAACTATCTGTGTACACTGGTGGATGTGACGACTTGATTTGCAGTGGCGGCCTTTACAGCGATGCCAGGAGTTGCTCGTTTCAATGGCGCACGCCGCCAGATGGATCCCTCAGCTACATCCTTGTCCAGAGCACAATCAACGGGTTCCCGGATTCCGGAGATCTTTCGTTAACTCTTACCGTCACTGATGCCGGTACAGCAGCGCCAGCACTACCGGGAACTGTCGAACCAACGTTTTCTCCCAACACAATCGCTCCAACGTTCGAAGAAGAAATCTTGCCGACTCTTCTTCCCTCCACCCCCGGCTCAACCACCACTGAAAGGCCCACGTTCGCGCCGAATACCGAGACGCCTACCTTTGAACCAACTACGCCCCCTACTGACCCTATTGCAACTGATGAACCCTCGTTCGCGCCACTGATACCGACGTTACCCCCAAACACAGTAGCACCTTCATTTTCGCAAGTCACACTGGCCCCCACTTTCCTTGTTACTTCTGGTCCAACTCTAAGCCCGACGCGGGACTTCCCGGGAAATATGACTCTGCAACCAACTCGAGACTATCTGCCAATAAGGACACAGCAGCCGTCCGCACTAATGCCAACTACGGACGTGGCAACCACTGTGCCAACAGGGGGGATACCATTGTCTCCCACCATGCCCGAAGTAGAAACTTCTGTCCCCACAACATCTGTGACTACTGGGATGTTCACAATCATGAGCGTCATTGGTTCAGCTGCCAACTTCTCCACTCTCAATGAATTGATTATTGCTGCTGATTTGGTGACCACTCTGGAGGGAGAAGGTCCTTTTACAGGTAAGTGAAGGAACTTGCATATTACACACATCACAATAGCATCATTATGGCAGCATGCTGCTCACATGCCATTTTTGACATCCCAGTATTTGCTCCAAACAATGCAGCCTTTGAAAAGCTGCCAGAAGGAGCTTTAGATTCCCTGTTGGCCAACCCTGACACTTTGAGGGAAGTCTTGTTGTATCATGTTGTTGAGATGGACCTAATCTTGACATCGGAATTGGAGGAGGGGGCAGTTTATCCAACTGCGCAAGGTGGAAATCTTGTCATATCAGAAGAAGGGTCATCCTTTTTTGTCAACGATGCTAGAGTAATCTTTGCTGACTTGATAGTGGGCAATGGAGTGCTGCATGTTATTGATACGGTCCTTTTTCCATCCACAGAGGCACCTTCGCAGCCTCCAGGATTTACATCCTTTCCTACGTTGCCAGAGGAACTGACAGGAATGCCAACCACACCATCAACGGGACCAAGTCCAACATCCATCCCACTTCCACAAACAGATTCTCCAACCATTTCTGATGCTGTCACATCTGTGCCAACAACATCGGTCACCACCGGCATGTTTACAATCATGAGTGTTATTCGGTCTGCTGCCAACTTAACCACACTGAATGAGCTGGTGATTGCTGCTGATTTAGTGGCTACCCTGGACGGAGAGGGACCTCTGACATTGTTCGCACCCAACAATGCGGCATTCGACAAGCTACCAGAAGGAGCTTTGGACTCCTGGGTGGCAAACCCTGAGGTTCTAAGGGAAGTCTTACTATATCATGTTGTTGACATGGACCTTGTATTGTCAGCAGAACTGGAAGAGGGTGCAGTTTACCCAACGGCCCAAGGTGAAAACATTACGATATCGGAAGACGGATCAAAAGTCTTTGTCAATGATGCCATGGTGATATTTGAAGATTTGATAGTGGGCAATGGAGTGCTCCATATTATTGATTCTGTGCTTATTCCATCTGGATTACCAGGATTTACTTCCTCTCCGACATTGCCAGAGGCTGAAACTGGGTCGCCAACCTCATCAGCAACAACTTCAAGTCCAACTACAGCATCACTTCCTGTGACATCTTCTCCTACTGGGCAAGATATTGAAACGATGGCTCCAACCGCAGCAGCAACTTCCCTTGGTCCCTTGACATCCTCTCCAACAATGCCAGTGATAGAAACAACGAGCCCAACCGAAGCAGCATCACCCACAACGATGCCAGTATCTACATTGAGTCCAACTGCAGGATTACCACCGGCAACAATGATTCCAACTCCAGCAACGGTACCACCAACGCCGTCGGCATCTCTTGTCCCATTGACTCCTTCCCCTACGGTGTCAGATGGAGACACGACGATGCCAAGTGCAATGACACCCAACATACCACCAGCGTCAGTAGCTCCATCAGATCCGCTTCCCACTATTTCGCCCTCGCCGACGTTCTCCGCACCTCCCAATGACGATTGTTCCGATTCGACGGATCTGAAAGTAGGCGGCACCATTGTGGGAACAACGCTAGGTGCAAAGGCGGAGCCTCGAAACCTGGATACTTGTTTTCGACGAGACGTCGAACCGTCCCGTCTAACAACAATACGTGCCGGGGTGTGGTATTCATTCAATCTTGAAACCTCTCCTTCATCTGTCGAGCGCTTTCGAATCTCTGCGTGCAATGGCACCAGCGCGGAAAAAGCCCCAGTCCATCTGACGTTGTACGAAAGTGACAACAATGGCTGTGATGTTCTCATATGCGCCGTGACGATCAACCACGTGGGATGTGCTTTGGAATTCGATGTGCCATTAGTGAAGCAAATTGGTTTGACCTACAAGCTATTGGTGGAGCAGAACATTCCCTTGGATGACCTTGATGCCGGTGGAATCTTTTGGTTGTCACTGCTGCCGACGGTTATCCCTTCGAACGATGATTGTTTGAGTGCAACGGCAATTGATGTGGGAGACGTTATCGCGGCAACTGCCTTATCAGCCACCCCCGAATCCACTGCCACCACATCTCTGTGCAACAGAGACAACGGGGATATCATTGAGCGCCTTTCCGACAAAGATCCAGTCCCTGGTGTTTGGTACCGCATGTTTGTCGGTGGTCGAGTCACCCTCTTGGCCTCAGCTTGTGGATCTGACCGAAGCGACTTGGTTCATGTCACTGTGTACACAGGGCAGTGCAACAGCTTGCAATGCGCATCGGATAAACTCGCGTCACCACTTTCATGCGAATCAATGTGGGAGGCTACGTCTTCCGAGTCGGTCTACTTGATTCTAGTGGAACGCGTTTTGGAGTCGGGGACCGATGATGGAAGCTTTCAGCTATCGGTAGAGTTTTCATAAAGCGGAAGCGCTTGCTTTTGCGGGGGAGCAAAATTTGGCAGATATTAGAAGCAGTATGGAGCTATGCCCAGCTAGAGTGACGTTTCACACAACACACCAATCTCAATGAAGCGGCGCTTCTTCTTGGTAAAACTAGATCGTACCCACCTTAAAATAATGAGCGGTCTGCGATTCATTCATTCGTACTCTCCCTCCCTGTCTGAGACGAGGACGCGGAAGCGCAAGAGGCAACATCATAGCTACTCTAGCTAGCTACCAGGCTGCTATAGCCAGATACAGCCGCAGTAAAAATCCATTCTTCACTGGAGCATGCAGCTGACGAGTCAAGGGCTGCAAGTCATCCATTGGCCAAAGTGCGTGTTTAGTGTATACATGTAGCCAGACCATGAAGAAGCCAAGGCAAGAGAAAACGGTATCCGGAGTACTCGAGTAAGTGGCCTACAAAAGAGAGGACGCGGTGTGACTTCTGGAATTAGGGGAACGCAGCAATCTTGCGAAACTTTCTTGTGAGCAAGCAAATCGTCCCTTTAGAAAGTGGGGTCTGGGGTCTGGGGCCTGGGATGCAAACATTACACTGTTTCTCTCTGACGGTACCAAGGGCATTGATCGAAAAGGACGGTGAAACTGAGGGTGGCAAAGTACCGGTACCGTAGCAACAATCGAGCTTGTACGGTTGGAGCGCTGTCGACAGCCCGCAGTGTATACTTGTTTGTAAGCAGTAAATGTGGCTTCGGTGACCAGCAAGTCCAAGCAGCTGTGCTGTTGAGGCGCATTGACTGGAGTTTTCTCGTTCCTCTCCTCTCATCCCATCCTATCCATATTTCCCACAAAAACAAGTTGGACACAAGCAAAGTTTCTTTGACTGCTGTTCCAAACATTCGTTTGTTTATTGGCGAGACATCGACAAGAGAAAAAATCCTTCAAAACTACGAAACGAAAACCAACCCCCCCTCGACAAGAAAAAGAAAAAGAGAAGGCATGAAGCTCATAGGTTGCTTGGTGGCCACACTGCTGCCGATAACGGTGGTCTTTGCTTCTCCTTCTTCCATGCTGATAGAGCGCAAAAGAAACCTACGAAATTTTCCCAGCAGTTCTGCTGACGGAGCTGCTACTGCCGCTACAGGTGTGGTTGCTGGTCTTCAAGACGAGATCAAATGGTTGAAAAGCCAGTTAGTTGCGTTGAGCGCCCGTTTGGATGAGGAGGCTGAAGAAAGGGCCATACTGGAGTCCAAAACCAACAAGAATCTTGAATCATTAGGTTCCACTGTTGCTCAGCTCCAGATTACTGCCACTGCCAGTGGCAACTTCAACCTCCAAGGACACCGTCATCTGGCAGAAACCTTGCAGGATGTCATCACAAAGACAGCATGCATCAGTGATGCTAGTGATTGGCAGCAAGTTCTGGTTGGACAACAACTGCATTACAAACTTCTATGTGTACCCATGCTTTCCGGACAGAGACACCCTTGATGCTGCATTGGGAGATATTGAGACTGCTGAGGCAACATATGGGCCAATCTACAGCTGGTGCTTTGAAGAGGTGTCAATGAGTGGTCTGTTCTCCTCAATGAGTAGTTTTGATGAAGACATCGGCGGCTGGAATGTCTCTCTTGTACATGATATGACAAAAATGTTCCGCTCTGCAACAACTTTCGCCCAAGACATCTCAAGTTGGGATGTAAGCAGAGTCACTGACATGTATCAGATGTTTTATAGTGTCCGTGTCTTCAATGGTGACATTTCCAGTTGGGATGTTGGCAAAGTTACATCGATGGAGCAAATGTTTTATGCTGCCAGGCTTTTCAACCATTCCTTAGCAGATTGGGATGTAAGCCAAGTGACATCGATGCACCAGATGTTCTCATGGAGTCGAGCGTTCAACCAAGACCTCTCAAGTTGGGATACTAGCAAGGTGGAAGACATGTCTTGGATGTTTTGCCTTGCCAATTTATTCAATGGAGATATTTCTACCTGGGACGTCAGCAGAGTTACCTATATGGAATCCATGTTCAGAGGTGCCGAAGTCTTTAACCGAGACTTGTCTGGGTGGGATGTCAGCAAGGTAACAAGTCTTGACAACATGTTCTTGTACGCCCATCCATTTGACCAAGACATCTCCATGTGGAATGTTAGCCAAGTCCAAACCATGTCTTACATGTTTCTTCAGGCTGAACGATTCGACCAAGACCTCTCCAATTGGGATGTTAGTCAAGTAACTGACATGAGTCACATGTTTTATAATGCTTGGGTCTTCAATGGCGACATTTCCAGCTGGGATGTCGCAAAAGTTACAGACATGGAAACAATGTTTTATAATGCTCGGGTCTTCAATGGTGACATTTCCAATTGGGATGTCAGCCAGGTTGCAAGTACGGAAACGATGTTCCAAGACACAACCTCTTTTAACCAGGATCTTTCCAGGTGGAACACGACCAGTCTTGTCAACACACATAGGATGTTCTACGGGGCATTGTCTTTTCAGCAAGACTTGTGTGAATGGCAAACAAAGCTGTCTACAGAGGCATCTGTTTCGGGCATGTTTTCTGGAACAAATTGCACTTTTGATGAAAATGGTGGTACTCCCCAATTGTTGAATGATTATTGGGCTGATCTCTGTTCTCAATGTGTTATTCCTTCGGATTCACCTTTTGCACTGCCATCAAGCAGCCCAAGCAAAAGCAGCAGCCCAAGTATGTATCCCTCTACAACCACCAATCCATCAAGTATCCCAACCAGCCAACCCAGTATTTTCCCTAGTAGCATACCATCAAGTTTGCCAACCAAGCAACCCAGCAAACTTCCCACCCAGAGCCCCAGTCTGAATCCAACCACAGAACCATCAAGCAACCCAAGCTCACCTCCATCAACAAGTGGCAGTCCCAGCAGTTCTCCTTCAAGATTCTGTTTTGATTCCCGCACAACGCTTCTGGAAAAACTGGATAACATTGCAGAGGCCGAGCTAGAGTATGGTCCAATCTACAACTGGTGCTTCCATGAAATGTCCTTTGAGCAGCTTTTTAGCACTCAACGATATGACAATGCTAGTGCCTTCAACTACGATATTGGTGGATGGGATGTTAGTCAAGTTGTGAGTTTTCAGAATATGTTTTACGGTGCCTCAAGCTTTGACCGGGACATTTCAGGATGGGCCACCAGCAAGGTGGCAAGTCTTGCCAACATGTTCTATGGAGCTAGTTCTTTCAATAAAGCCTTATCTGACTGGGATGTGAGCAAGGTGCAAGGGATGGGAAACATGTTCCGTGGAGCCACTGCCTTTGACCAGGACATTTCCAGCTGGGATACAAGTAAGGTTGTTTCTATGCTCAACATGTTCAATGGAGCCAGCTCTTTCAACCAAGATGTGTCGAGTTGGGATGTGACCAGTGTCACCGATGTCAAAGGCATGTTCAACCGAGCCAGCTCTTTCAACCAAGACTTGTGTGCATGGAAGTCAGAATTGTCTATGGATGCATCTAGTTGGGGTGTCTTCCTTTATACTGCTTGCCCCAAGGCTGTCACTCCATCCAATGATGGCACTGTTTGGACTGATCTTTGCTATGCATGTTAGACACGCAAGTCCACACCAAATCACTCTTTTCATTGCACCCCTCTACTGACAACAGAAGAAAGCACCAAGCAAATTCATTCAACTCCACAGCACCGCAACACTTTATCATTGGAAACCTCTACCAGAAGTTCCTACTTGGCTTGCAAGGAAAGGAGTTATTCCATGCCTTGCTGTTGAGCCGAATCAGATAGACTACTTCTTACTTAAACAACCAACACCCTGCATGTAATACTTTAGATTTGCTAGCTAGTGGCATAAGTTTGGGTGGCATCCTGTCTGATGGCTGCTGTGGGCCATCGAGTAGTTGCTACCGGTACCATGGCTACCAGTACCAGGGGGTGCTTTTCCGAGTGACCCCACTCAGCAGACAAGCCCCGAACAACTCAACTCCATCTGGCTCCTACATAGCTAGACCGTAGGTAGCGACCTAGAAAAACCGGCAACACCTATGGGAGAGGAGTTTTGTTGCACGGCTAAGCACAAGAAGTATCTGACTCGACTCGACTCCACATTTCATTTTAGGTTATACAGATGGAGGGGGTTTCCATCAAGCAATGGGTTTTTGGAGTAGGGAAGTTATCTACGGCTGTGACCTGACCAGTCGAACTGGCTGTGCCCCAAATGGCTGGACAAAGAGTCCTGCCACCGTACCAGTGCTTGTTAGCACCATTCCATCATTTCTATTTGCGCATTCTGTTCGTCGTCGTGTTGGTTGAGCCTCCGAAATTCCACTTCCTCCTGGTCTTTCTGCCAATAAATTCTCATTCCCAACTCGCTCATGCCCGAAAAGAGCACAACCTCAAGAAAGAGTATAATGTTGAAAGACATCATGATAAGCATCAAGAAACCCGAAGTACATCGCTGCACTGTCCATGCCAGTGTCGAAGAGTAGACCTTCTGGCGCTGATGCAGTGCCAAATGTGCTGCAAATCGGTCCAGCAAACACAACAAGGCAATCGATCCCGAGGCACTAATAAAAGTGAGGGTGTCGTCGATTTTGGCCCAGTCAAAGAGAAGCTGCACACCGGTGGTGTCCACAAAAAAGTATGGCTTCCACCAACCCATCATTGTTGACAGAGATCAGTGTACGGTAGCAATCTGGTGATAGTACATGTAACAATGATCGGCATGTCCCACTTCTTCAAAAAAGTTGACAATGGGCGATGGATGACGGTGTTGTGATGGATCTTTGGTACCAGTAAGAAGTTGGAAGAGGAACCCTAAAGTTCTTTTGGATACCTTATCCCTAAGCCTTCGAGCCTTTGAATCGATCAAACCATGAAAGCCGTCCATTTGAGTGCCACCACACTACCACAGACCGCAGCGTCGACAGCAATGCTGCGAAAGAGGAGCATACGAGTAGCTATCCTCAGGAGCATAAAAGAAGGGCATGATATCCTCAATAATCAACCTGAGTGATCAAGTCCTGAGATCATGCTGTGCTCAACCATGTGGCACGTTCGTTTGGGTACCAGTACAACACGGAACGACGACAAATGGAAAGACTGGAAAGAACGTGAACATCAGCCGAGAATAGTGGCGAAGACGAACTCTTGAGAGACACACTTCCTGGGCCAGCAACCTGACGATGGATATGGGCAAGCACTGGCTTTGCCGCCATGGTGTCTCAGGTACAACTAGCTAGAGGTCCTTGTCTGCTCTGCCGCAATCTAGCTACGGTACGTATGTTCTCCTCCTATGCGCAATCAATCGTTGCAGTGCCTATAACTACGTAGAAATCTTCTGCGACATTTTCTCTCTGTAGCTCCTTTCTCGTTATTTCTTTTGCTGCTATCATTTTGGTTTTTGCCTTGTTTCTGCTTTCCTGGCTTGTTTGGCTTTCTGTTTTTGTTTGTTTGTGTTTATGACTCAAAAAAGAGTGAATGAATGCCAAACAAGAGAAAGAGGACACCTCCCCATTGACTGACAGTTTTTTCGCTGATCCGTGCGGCCAACATGCGTCCTCCCATGACGGCAAGACCGGTGCAGAGAGAATGCCCAAGACAGCCTCCAATGGTGACACCGTATGGATTTTTGGCGGCCGCCAGAGCAATGGTCGCAATTTGGCTGCGATCGCCCCATTCGGCGACGAACGTGAGCATGAAGGATTGAAAGACTAGCATGTGCCATGGTTGTCGACGACTCTTATTTTTGACCCTCTTTTTGCTCATTCCTCGTTCGGGATCGGTGGAATTTCCTTCGGTATCGTCCCCTCCACTGGGACAGGAAGATTCATTATCAATACTACCATCAATTCCATCTCCTTCACTTTTCTTGTTGCGTGTATGCAGCAATTCTCCTTCGACTTCTTCCAATTCCTCACTGACTTTATGGGCGGCCATGCTTTGGGATTCGTACAACAATCGCAATCCAAAATATCCAAAGAGTACTCCCGCCAGCAAATGTGTGTATTTGCGATCCATAAATGCCGGCAAGACCAATCCCATGACGGTACTGAGGATTGTCATGACAATCAATGCCAAAATGGCACCTCCAAAAATAGCACGTCGATCATTCTTCATACTCAGGACGGCCGCAATAAAAAACGTCTTGTCGCCAATTTCCGTCGCGACAATCATGGCCACGGCACTGGTGAATCCATTCCAAAAGGGCAGATCTGTCGTATGCGACCCGTGAAACCAACTCTTTGATGCCGTCTGAGGATGATGACGCAAAAAATCTTCAAATTGATCCAACGCTTGATTAAATTCCGCTCGATCCATGCGACCATCGCGATTGGCATCCAACAAGTCAAAGACATCACGCGCGGGAGCGGTGGCCGTGTCTTGACTCATGACTGGGAAATAGCAGTAGCATAGGACGAGTACCAGACAGAGCCAGAGTCTAGTACATGTAGTAGTAGTGCACGCCATGGTCATTGCTTTTTTGTTCTTGTTTGTTTGGCAGAGTGCTCTTTTTTCTCTTGGTTGGATGCTGCTTCGTACGGCCTCTCTTCTCTACCCAGACTGGTTGGTTGAGACTACCAACGACTGGACTAACAAATACGATGGAGGAGAGCCGATGATCGAGATGTGATTTGAGAAAGTTGCGTTCGAACAGTCCGATAAAATACTGAGAGTACCACCGTGGGCCTCGTCCTCCTTTTGTTTGGCTCTTGGCGTTCAAGAGCAGCGCGATCTAATCCGTCATTGCTTTCGTCAAATGACCGTTGCGCGTTGCGAGAACAGTAACTTAAGGTCAGAGATAATGTATCGCTGTGGAGATGCGTAAGGGTTTTGGACCGGTTCTTTCATTATTTCCAAAAAAGGGAGACAAAGATCTCGACCATGACGGACCCTCAAGAAGACGACCAGTCCAAGCCCTATCACAACCTGGACGATTTGGAGACGGCAACCTTGCGCATCCCCAAGCTCAAAGTCAAGTGCAAAAAGGCCGGTTCCACCTTGTCTCCAACCGTTCAGAGCATCATTGTAGAGCCTTCGTCCAATTCCATTCGACCCGATTTAGTCACTGCCTATTTGACACACTTGGTCGAACGATTGAATGGTGACAAGGTCGTCCACATTGAACTCCACAAGTTACAGTTGGGGGATTGGACGGTATTGGCCAACTTTTTTCATCAACAACCCAAACCCGTTGCGTTGACCATTCGACGATGCCCCTTGACGGCTGCCGGCGATGAGACGTTGAGAGAGTTTCTCGCAACGACCACCAGTTTGCGGTGTTTTCGATTCTTTTACGACACTCCATTTGACTTGAAATTCAGCATGGAACACGTATGGAGGCATGGATTAGAAACCAACTCGTCTCTGGAAGTGCTGCAGCTCTGGTGTCCCGCCTTTACGCAAGTTTACCATCATTTGTTCCACAATCATCAGAATCTAATCAAGGCAGGACTGCGTCTGCATCACTATGGGGCTGCTCCCCGGGATCACAGTGCTGCGCTGTGGGAAACCATTCCCCATGGTGCCTACCAAATCGAATCGTTAGACTTGTACACAACCCAACCGGTCCCTGCCAAGAGACTGTTGGAGTGGCTCAAAGTCACAAACAAGTTACGACAAGACGACGTGTCCATTTCAGGGCGTTCCTTTGGTGGGGAGGATGGTGACACCATTCGAGGCAAGGACAATGTACTGGAGAAACTCCAAGAAATGGCCAAATGAAACATAATGCGAGACGACAACAATGGAAGCACTTGGATGCTCGCATGGGAACTTCGAGAAGACTTGATTCGATTCATTGCAACGAAAAAAGGGCGAAGGGGACCAACCAACCGTGGCCAAGCCGGGTGTCTGGGTGGCGTTTTACGAGTTCTCGCTTTCATGTGGGAGATCCATGGGATCATCAGGAGGCTTCGGAATGCCTCTGCTCGCCCACTCGCACGGCCAAAAGGACTCGGTCTCGGGCTGGCAGTGGCGTGCTTGCTGGCAGTACGGTACGTAGAACGTCCAAGCTACTACAGTAGACCCGTCGACCGCAACCCCTTGGAGAATGATATGATCACGCAAGCGAGTTGCTGCGGTGGCAGTCCTCGTTTCGCGGAGGACGCCACAACTGAGGAAAGAGATTGTTTCTCAGCGAGGAGCCTACCGTTCGGTGTCATCCTTTAGAGACGCAACGCAGACACGCCATCACAGAATTTATTGGCTAGATATAATACTTACCACGAAAATCTAACCTGGTAGAAACTGTTTCAAACGCTCTACCGTACTGCACGGACCTCGCCGTCGGTAAGAAAAGTGAGACTGCCGAGGTACGGTGAACAGCGTACCAGTAGAGCACACTGAAAACCAAACAAATCTAGCCGATCGTTTATATCAGATGCTATGACGGGAACCGATCTGGATCGACTCCGGATCCTTTCATGCGAATTCTCAAAACTTGTCTCGATCGATTGGTGCCAGGATGCCAGTGCCTGTCTCGTGACCTCTCATTGGATCCATGTGCTGGGGAAAACGTACTCTAGAAGCGAAAAGCGTAGACAGATCACAAAATTAACCTTCCCCTACAATGCAGCTTTTACATGAGACTACATTACATTGAGCTCTTTGTGTTGCGATGACAAGTTCTTATCGAATCGGGGCCGACTTCGATAGCCGGAGCCGCTGCTCGTAAGGCTGGTCTTCATTGAGGAACTGATGGAGCTTCGGACCGAGTCGGAGTTGAAATACTTAGGATGCCGGTCGGCCAATGATGATGCCACTGTCATGGCACCCCAGGACATCCACAACTCGAAGGATCGCTTCACATACAGCTCGGCCATGTGCATGCGCTCTTGCTTCTGCTCGATGAATTGGAAACACAAGTAGTTCGCAAAGGCGGCATCCTGTAGGAACCCAGCCCTGCTGGCGGATACAATGGCATCATCATATTTGGCAAGGACAGTTTCACAAGTGGGACCCGTTAAGGTACAAGTGTTGGTGGACATCATTTCAGCCTCCAACAACTGGAGTTTGTGTACCAGATTGATGGCACCTTCCTTGACAACGGTCCGGAAGTACTTGAGCTCCTTGTCCGCTTGTGCCTTGTACTTCCACTGGCCATTACGACGATAGTTGGCAATGGCAATGAGTCCGAAGAAGAAGCGACGGCAGCTGTACCAAAAGGCAGCCTTCATGAAACCAGGCTTGGCTTTGTGCAACGAATCTGCCATCTGGAGAAGGAAAAATGTACAGAAACCAAAGCAAAACTTGTGAGACAAGAGCACCAGTATCAAAGAAGACAAGCCTTCACGGAACTCACCTCCGTCGCCTTGGCCAGATCACCCATGTAGTACGAGAGGACCATTTGGTAAGATTGGATGGATTGTGCTCCGCTGTTGTTGTGATTGTACATTTTATTCCTCATTTCAATGACTGTGCCTTCCTCCATGCTTGCTGGGTTTTCCGATCGGCCCGTCAAATTGAGCAAACATTGCCATAAGGGCGACGCCAAGAAGAAGAACATGACCTGGTTGTATTCCAAGTATCGATTGCAATGTTTCTCCACATCATCCAGCAATGGTCCCAGTGGAAGCCCTGTGTAGAAGTAATTGACTGAGTAGCCCACCGTGCTTTGAAAAGCATTCCCAATGAGTCCCCGTTTCATGCATGCCTTTTCCGCCACAAGATAGTCCTCTAAAACATTGGACGCTGGTTCCAGCCACCATTTCGTGATGGTTGGGATCATGCTGGTAACAGAAAGACTCGATGTGCTGACGCCAAACTTATCTACACATTTTGCAGCCAGTTGCCCCAGTCTGTGGGCTTCGCGAATGTCGTGTGATTGGCCGGCAATGAAGGACGCTGCAAAGACAAAGCCTTGGGCGCAGTTTTTGGACAAGCCGTATTTGAGGGTGATTTGAATCATCTGGGCAGCGACAAGGGTACAGAGTGCCTGCTCTTCCAACTGGTACAGTGGCATTGTCATTCGATACAGGATCTCCAGCGCAATTTCCTTCTTCCAATCTGAGATGAGAGGGAGGGCCAGAATATCCTCGTTCGACATGGCACTCAGTCGACTCTTCATTTTCTGATACTCCATTTGGACATAAATGCTGTTGGGCTTGCGAGGGAACTTAATACCCAGGAGATCAAGTTTCCAATAGCAGTATTCCAGCATGTCCGAGACACGCCCCTGCGCCACGTAGCAGTCAAACATGACCACCAACATAGGGATCTTTTCATCACAGTCGGTCGAGTTCTCCATGACTTCCTTGGAGGCAGCCAGTGCTTCATCGATGTTGCCACAAACATATTCAGTTGTTGCCAAGCAAGAATACAACTTGATGGCCAATTCCCGTTGACATTCAAAGGGTTTGTCTCCCAAACAGGCCACACCGGCTTCGAGATAACGAGCCGCAGGCATAAAACTGGAGAGTGCCACTGCCTTTTTCCCAGCGCGATAATTCATCTTGGCAAGTTTGCATTTCTTGTCATAATCGCAGGAGGTGATACACTCATCGGACCCATCAGCACCCAAATTCAAATGATCGACTGTAGCAAAAAAAGTTGAGTCGTCGTTGAGCAACTCTGTTTCATTCATAAGCAAACTACCAATTCTCCAATGCACCTGTGCGACTTCAATGTCTTCTGGTAACAACCCGTATGCTGTGAGTTGTATCATGTCGTGACTGAATCGGTAATGCGTGTCGTTGAGCTTTATGACAAATTCCTGTTCCAATGCTTGGGCAATGCTGTGATAGACGCATTCGACATTCAGTGCAGAGCGCGCCTTTTCCAAAGCTCGAATATCAAAATGGGCCCCAAAGCAAGCTGCCAACATGAGGACATTTTGGACGTGTTGCGGCAATTTGTGAATGCGGGATGCCAAGGTCTGAACGACATTATCTGACAAGGAGGATCGTCGTTTGATGGCTTCGACACTCCATTTCCATTGAAACATCATCATGTCAAATTGCAACAATTCGTCCTCCTGTAATTTTTCCAAAAAGTGTTTCATAAAGAATAGATTGCCGTGCGTGAATCCATAGACTAAATCGGAGAGTTCTTTGACCGTCTCCACGTCCTTGCTGAGGGCGTCAGCTAGTAATTCAGAGACCTGTAGATGAGTTAAATCATCCAACAAGACAGTCTGGACTGTCGCTGAGGGAGTGGATTGAGTCAATTCATCCTGAAGCTGTTCCTTCCAATCGTAGAACCCCTCAGTGGCAGTGTCTTCCTCGGTGCGGAAGGTGCCACAAATGAGGATATTTTCGAGAGTGTGGTCCAACAAGAGGGAGCGGAATATCTGCATGCTGGTCGGACAACTCCAGTGAATATCGTCAGCAGTCAAGACAACAGTCGATAATTTGGCAATGGATCGAACACAGGCTTTGAATGTAGATGTCAGCACACTCAGAGCATCTTTGGACACTTCAGCTGCCTGCGTCACCACGCTGTCTTCGTCGTCACTGTCAGATGATTTGAATTCCTCGCTGGAGTCTTCCTCCAACAAATCGTCTGTCACTGCATTGGTCAAGAAGGACCTCAAGACATGATACTGTCGCTTGTCCAAGGTATCCTTCAGCACTCTTGGGCACATGGTGCCTTCTGCCTTCATGACAGCGTCAATAAGCTGTGACAGGAGGCCTCTCAAGTTCTCCAAGGGAGCATTGGACTTTCGTTGATCAAATTTGGTTTCAGCCTGCCAACAATTGGATAAGTCACCAAGTGTCTTTCGGATCAGCGTAGACTTGCCTGTTCCACTCTTGCCGCCCAGCAAGACAACTCTCACAGCACCTTCCCGAGCTTCTTGTAATGCCTTGCGCAACAGGGCTTCTTCCTCACGACGAGGGACGATCGGTAGTTTCAGTCTCTTGGCTTCGACGGACATGTTTGAAGTAAGTTACTAGTACTACTAGTATTGTTGTTGTTTGCGGCAATAATGATGGAAGAGGACGACAAAAAGCAAAGGAGGTCGACAGAAGAGGTGCCTCGCGATGAACTGGAGGTCTGCTCTTGAAAGCAAGTCGTGTGGATCTGAGAGGAACGTCATTGTCAACGAACTTTGGCTCTTGGCTGGCAGCTGGAGCTGACGGTGGAAGAACATTTAACATACCGGTACTGTAACTGACGACTGACACAAAGACACCAAGCGTATGTTTCGATAGATGGTATGGTGCAAGGAAAGATATAACAAGGTCATTAATTAAGTCAGAGATAGAAGGAAACAGATCTTTAATTGATACAAGTAGTCAAGTAGTCCATACTTAAAAGAAGTGATGTGTGAGGCGAAATAAATCACGTTTTGAGTGGTCATTAAACAGAGCTTCCTGGAAGTTCGACAATTCGAACAGCTGCGAGTTCCTGTGTTCCCATGTCACTCCTCCCTGTCTGAAGACATTCGAATATTCGGCTCAGACGAACAGCTACGACTGTACACTGTACAGTCGTACCCACCAAGCCGTCACCACAATCCGATGTTCCGATCAGCGACCAAGCAGTGGGAACTGGGAGCCAACGAGCATTGAGCAGCAATTCGATCCTCATTACAGCTTCCTCGGTTTCCTTCTTGCCCTGGTCTGGCAATACGATTCTCGAAGAGCTTCTGCGTGCCAGTGGGACAACTACGGTACAGCGCGCTGGCAAAGCAGTCCTGAAGATGGCTGGGTGGTCCATTGGAAAATCCTGTGGCCTGTGGCACCTCCTTTGTTTGAATGGGGATGAACCCTCCTCGGGTAGGCCAACTCGGGCCTTCAAAACGAGCCACCTTTCCCGAACCAAAGTGGTGGAGCTGTACTGTCCGCACCATTTTCGCTCGTGCAGATACTATAGTACCGGTACGTAGCTAGCTATTTCCATCTGGGCGCACCGGTACGGTACAGTATGATTCTGTGATGGAAATACCCAGCCTTTGCTACTTGGTCCACGGCCCCTAGTCACAATTACCAGCAGTCGCTGTCACGGAACTCTCTTTCCATAGTCTGCGCAACTACCGGTAGCTTATCAATGTATGCTGACTAAAACGGAAATCGAAGCACTCCAGAAACTGGGTGTGGACTTCGTTCAAGCACTAGATAGGTATTTGTGCGCCGTGCAGAATACCACCACTTCGAGCTGGAATCGAACACACACCGTCCGTTCCAGTCAGCAATGGACTAGCTAAGGAAGAGTTGAGTCGATTAGCAATTGGAGTCTGCTTCGGAGATCTTCTACTATTGATCAGCTTCAGGCTCGAGGCGCCTATTCTTTGCTTTATTGGAGCCCAAATGCTACGAGACACTAGAACCGGAAGAGTGAGTTCTCAAAGGAGTATTTACGGATGATGGATACCAACCGGACTAGCCCAGGGTGACAAGCTAATGCCGGGTACTTTATATAGTGGCGTCTCTCTCTTGGTGCAGCGCATGACGTTGACAGTCCAACCATGAGCGCTGACGAGCGAGAAGTCTTGCAAGCCTCGAGGTAATAGTATTGAGCGACTATGATGGACTTGCACCGGAGTGTGCAAATGCAGCGTCGGAGATTTCAATCTACCGGTGATTCCTTAACCTCACCGAGGAAGTTTTCGTGGCACAATCCATGACAGATGCTTCTTCCATACTCTCGATGTGCTGACATCATCCTTGATTTTCGTTTTTCCACATCCACTCAACATACCAAAGCCCACTGCTGTGAATGGACCTACATGTAGGGGTGTTTGGTTTTATCGACCTTCGATGTTTTGAATTTCCTTACGGGATCCGCCAGTGTAGATTGCGGTAGATGTACCGGTACAGATCAGCACCACCTTCCTCTGGAAGTGCGATGCTGGTGAGGGTGCCATTGGCTACCTCTCTGTGAGATTGAGCTTGCTTTGTCTGTGCAAGGCTAATCAATGCTTCGGCTGCGACACAGGAACGATTCATCCAACCTGATCAGAAGCAGCACCCACGAGCTAACTTCTATCGAGAAGGACAAGCGGCCTGTGGCGAAGCAATTTTCTAATTGTGCGGCTGCATTTGTAAGCGGCCAAGCTACATTGCCTCACGATCTGTTGGTACGTGTACTGGTATGTCGAGTGGAGACCACATAAGATTCGATTCAATCGTACGGCCCGTACCTATCGGTACCTCCACCGGAAGGTTGTTCATTGAGGCACATCTTTCTGCATGTATTGCACCGTTCGTTTGAGGCCATCCGATCGAGTGCGGGCGCAAAAATTGTTGTGACCGAGAAGCGACGTTGACACATACGATAACCACTGACATGGCATCGAGTGCTTTAGCTGGTGGTACGATACGAATGCGGCTGTGTAAGCTTCAATCGTTGCAAACGTACCTACAAGGGAGTTGGCGTTCTTTGAGTCGCTCGCAACTTCTTGTGGCATCGTCGTCGTTTCGGGTGCCGTGCTGCCTGCCTCCAAAGGAACGATCTCAGCTGCAAGATTCTTCTTCGTGATCTTGTTCCGGTACGGCACCGTTCTTTTGGCAGGCTTAGAATTTAAAACCCCATCAGTTCTCAGCTACAAGAATGTCAAGGATGCACCCTCAAATCAAACTAATGGTTGTGGATTGCTTGAATCTCCCTACTAGCTAGCTCGGACGCTAAGTGGCACGCTGCGGCAATGCAGTTTTACCCTTTGACATGGAGGCATACAAGAAGTTCGATTACATGACATTGTACCCTCTCTTCGAAGTTGATAGCTGCGTGAAATGGAGGAGACCAAGATTTGGAGTGACTCCCAAAGCTCCTCACCACAAGAAACGGTTTTGTCACGACCCTTAATTCCCATTTCAATGCATTAACTCTTTTAGCCCAGGAGTTCACAGATCGGGCAAACCTCAGGTTGATTGAAAGGGCCGGAAATCACGATTTTATGAGTCCAAACCAATTGATCAATTCGAAACCTAAATATAAAATCGAAGCCTAAATATAAAATCGAAACCAAAGTATCAAACCGAAACCAAATTACTATTGTAATTAACTAGTAAAATCAAGCCGAAACCAAAATATAAGATCGAAGCCTAAATATAAAATCGAAACCAAAGTATCAAACGGAAACACAAGTATAAATCGGAATTTGGTGTAAATCGCGATTTCGGGCCGTTTCAATGCTAAATCGAAGGACAAAACCCTCACAAAAAAAGACCGAGAAAAGTATTTTCGTTCCTAATTATAAAACCACAAAAGAACGAAAACTGAAAAGACCCCAACAGGCAATTCAACGGCAACTCAATCATGAAGCTTACAGCGTTACTGGTTGCATTGTGGTCAACCTCCGTACAACTCTCTCCGTCTGCTTCTTCCTTGGAGTTAGCACCAAACAAGAACTTGCGAAAGCTTGCCAACCATGATGCCGCTACAAGTACCATTGAAGATAAACCTTCAAACCTTCAAGATTTAGCAGATTTGGTTGCTGGTCTCCAGAACCAGATCGCGCTGTTGAATACTCAATGCGAAGATAATTTCTCCACGTTGAGTGCCCGTTTGGATGAAGAGTCCAAAGAGAGGGCGCGACTCACTGCACATGTCAACGATATGGAATCCAACACCAACAATAATAATGGATCAATGAGCTCCACTGCTGCCTACAATGAAGAAGATTTTCATGACTACATGAAAAAACTAGACCACATGGAAGCAAAAATGGAACAGCTCCAGGATTCTGCCACTGAAAACTTCAACCTCCAAGGACATCGTCATCTGGCAGAAACCTTGCAAGATGTCATCAGCAAAACAGCATGCATCAGTGATGCTAGTGATGGCACCAAGTTCTGGGTGGACAACAACTGCCTTACAAACTTTTATGTATACCCATGCTTTCCGGATAGAGCCACTCTAGACACTGCATTGGGAGATATTGGGACTGCTGAGGTGACTTATGGGCCAATCTACAGCTGGTGCTTTGAAGAGATGTCAATGAGTGGTCTGTTCTCCTCAATGAGTAGTTTTGATGAAGACATCGGCGGCTGGAATGTCTCTCTTGTACATGATATGACAGAAACGTTCCGCTCTGCAACAACTTTCAACCAAGACATCTCAAGTTGGGATGTAAGCCGCGTTACTGACATGTATCAGATGTTTTATAATGCTCGGGTCTTCAATGGTGACATTTCCAGTTGGGATGTTGGCAAAGTTACAACTTCCGAGCAAATGTTTTATGATGCCAGTGTTTTCAACCAGTCCTTAGCAGATTGGGATGTAAGCCAAGTGACAAGCATGAAATTCATGTTTCGTAGCGCTAATTATTTCAACCAAGACCTCTCAAGTTGGGATACTAGCAAGGTGGAAGACAGTAAGTTACTGTCGCCTTTGTTGCCAACCCAGTTATCGACAATGACGACATTCTTGTTGTCGCTTGTTCGTTCTAACCCACTCGACACACTGCTTGTTCAGTCTCTTGGATTTTTTCATCAGCAGATTCTTTCAACGGCGATATTTCAACCTGGGATGTCAGCAAAGTTACCACTATGGAATCCATGTTCAGAGGTGCCCACGGCTTTAACCGAGACTTGTCTAGGTGGGATGTCAGCAAGGTGACAACTCTTTACGGTATGTTCATATACACTGAACTATTCAACCAAGACATCTCCATGTGGAATGTTAGCCAAGTCCAAACCATGGCAGCCATGTTTCCGCACGCTTACAGGTTCAACCAAGACCTCTCTAATTGGGATGTTAGCCAGGTAACTGCCACAAAATTGATGTTCTATTGGTCACAAGCCTTCAATGGAGACCTATCCAGCTGGGAGGTTGGAAAAGTTACAGACATGAAAGGAATGTTTGCCGGAGCAAATTTCAACATTGACCTTTCCAATTGGGATGTCAGTCTGGTTACAACCATGGAGAAAATGTTTGAAGAGACCTCTTTCAACCAAGATCTTTCCAGCTGGAACATGACCAGTGTTGTCAACACACACAAGATGTTTGATGGTGCAGTGTCTTTTCAGCAAGACTTGTGTGAATGGCAAACAAAGCTGTCAACAGCAGCATCTGTTTCAGGCATGTTTTCTGGAACAAATTGCACTTATGATGAAAATGGTGGTACTCCCCAATTGTTGAATGATTATTGGGCTGATCTCTGTTCTCAATGTGTTATTCCTTCGGATTCACCTTCTGCACTGCCATCAAGCAGCCCAAGCAAAAGCAGCAGCCCAAGTATGTATCCCTCTACAACCACCAATCCATCAAGTATCCCAACCAGCCAACCCAGTATTTTCCCTAGTAGCATACCATCAAGTTTGCCAACCAAGCAACCCAGCAAACTTCCCACCCAGAGTCCCAGTCTGAATCCAACCACAGAACCATCAAGCAACCCAAGCTCACCTCCATCAACAAGTGGCAGTCCCAGCAGTTCTCCTTCAAGATTCTGTTTTGATTCCCGTACAACGCTTCTGGAAAAACTGGATAACATTGCAGAGGCCGAGCTAGAGTATGGTCCAATCTACAACTGGTGCTTCCATGAAATGTCCTTTGAGCAGCTTTTTAGCACTCAACGATACGACAATGCTGGTGCCTTCAACTACGATATTGGTGGATGGGATGTTAGTCAAGTTTTGAGTTTTCAGAATATGTTTTACGGTGCCTCAAGCTTTGACCAGGACATTTCAGGATGGGCCACCAGCAAGGTGGCAAGTCTTGCCAACATGTTCTATGGAGCTAGTTCTTTCAATAAAGCCTTATCTGACTGGGATGTGAGCAAGGTGCAAGGGATGGGAAACATGTTCCGTGGAGCCACAGCCTTTGACCAGGACATTTCCAGCTGGGATACAAGTAAGGTTGTTTCTATGCTCAACATGTTCAATGGAGCCAGCTCTTTCAACCAAGATGTGTCAAGTTGGGATGTGACCAGTGTCACCGATGTCAAAGGCATGTTCAACCGAGCCAGCTCTTTCAACCATGACTTGTGTGCATGGAAGTCAGAATTGTCTATGGATGCATCTAGTTGGGGTGTCTTCCTTTATACTGCTTGCCCCAAGGCTGTCACTCCATCCAATGATGGCACTGTTTGGACTGATCTTTGCTATGCATGTTAGACACGCAAGTCCACACCAAGTCACTCTTTTCATTGCACCCCCCTACTGACAACAACAGAATTGTTTCATTCAACCACACAGCACACCAAACTTCATCATAGAAACCTCCCATTGAGGGCCCAAAGCAAGAACATGAAAACAAGAAAAATGGGAAGGAGAAACAAAGAAACAGTCAAAACACACACAAATGCATACCAGTAGTAGCCAACTGTGCTTGCAAGGAAAGGAGTTACATGTATTCCATGCCTTGCTGTTGAGCTAGATCAGTTGGCGTAGTTCTTATTTATACATCCAACACCCTTGAATGTAACATTGCAAGTAGCAAGATAGCTAGCGAGCTAGCAAGCTAGTCTAGCGTTGCTTTACCGGTTCTGCATATGGTTTGGGTGGCATACCTGTCTGCTGTTGTGGACCATCACCATCCAGAAGTGGTTAAAGCAGCTACAGGTACCAGGCGGATGCTATCCCGGTAAGTCCACTCATCGTACAAAGGCTGGAACAACTACATGTATGTACATCTGGCTCCAACTAGCTAGCAGCCGGTAGCCAGATATGCAACCATCACTCTACTAGAAGAGAGAACAGCCATCAACACCACCTCTTGGAGAGAAGTGTTGTTGGATGGCTAGGCACAAGAAGGATCCATATTGAGAGGATTTATAGATTGTCTACTGAGCTAAGGTCCACTTCACAGGAATCGACGCAAGTCTCTTGACGAAACCTCATACGTCCCATTATCTTCATCATCGTCAAGGAAGCGGATCCGATATCGTTCTTCTTCTTTGACGGCAGTTACCGACACGATTTTAGCCTTGAAGAAGCTGTCTCCATCCACACGTACGTCAACAGTTTCATTCACCTGGTAGGGCTTGAATGGTCGAACACAGCTACGGCACAAACCAAGGTCTTCTTCCCCGTCGTTATAGACCACATCATAGGAATCGCGATCCGCACTGGCGTCCATGAGAACTCCTTTGTAGTATTCTTTGAAGGATAGAAAAGCAACGGACGCTGTTAGGAACACTGACCAACTGCTATGTGTCGCATTGTGTTCGGTGCAGGCTTACCGTTGTGTTCACCCTGGTATTTCCCTTCCACCGTGTCGCCAGTTGTCACCCATGCGCCACGAAACGGTTCGTTCAGGGTAGGAGGCGACGACGGAATCTTCGACTGTTTTGCTGGGGTCGCTGGCACTGTACTGGCCGGAAACAAGCATCGTTTTCCAATACGTTGGACAAACACTGTTGCTCGAGGCCGTTCATCGGGCTCCTTAGCGGATGGAGGATTTCTCCCTGCGAGAAGGATCCGACTGGTCCAAGAGCCCAAGTAGTTGGTTACAGTGGATTGTTGCATGGTGGTGTGCCGCCATACTCCAAATTTTGTTTCGCCCTTCAAAAAGTCGAGCTCTCGCATCAATGCAGACGTCAAAGGGTGTTGTTCCCTTAGCAGTTCCTGTCGACAAAAGGCAATGGCAACTTCGTCCAAAAGATCTGTCCACCGTCCGGCTTCCATTTGATGCAAGAGGCGTCCCTGGTGTCGTTGAAGCATGGTATCAAACACCAAGAAATCGCACAGGTGATTCTGAAGCGAGGGCGAAAGCCCACCAAAGCCAGTGGCGTGGTCGTCAATCAGTTCCTTCCAGATAATATTCCCGGGTTGACTGTACTCCAGAATGTTGGCATAGGATGCCAAATACCAAGCATCATAGTGAGGTGCCACCAATACATCGTTTCGATTTGGGAGCGTGTACGGTGCAGGATCCTCCTCTGTTGCTGGGGCCACAAGATGAATCTCGGGGTCCGAGAAAGGCTGGAATAGCTTGCCTGATCGCACCAACCGCGCCCAGTTGGATTGCGAGAGGCTCGTCACATATTGCAATGCCAATGCTAGGACCACTCCGTGCAGTATCAGTAGCCTAACCACGTTCCGTGTCAAGACAGCGGCACCCGAGTGCGCATTGTCCTGCACAAGGGCCACCACCGCGGACACAAGCAGCAGGCCCACCATAGCCAGCCCCAATGCCAGCTGATGTGACATGGCCAAGAACTCCTTGACCTTTTGGACCGTGGTCACCAAAAAGTCATGCCAGCCTCCATCGACAGGCCAGTCGTCCTCGTCTTCTTCCTCGTCGACAGTGCCTTGCAACCACGTCGGGAGCCATGCAAATCCACCCTGCTCCAGTACAAAGGTTTCCAATGTATCCCGCGTGTAACCATTATCTCCATTGGCCATTCTCATCAATGCCACCGTGGTCATGTCCCATCCCCAATCGCTGCCACGTGGCTTGTACAACCCCAGCGACCGCAATGTCCTCCACGGAAGTGCCATTTTTGTGGGAGCATGTCCAAAATCATCCAGCGTGTGTCCCCAATGTTGCCAATTGATCGAGTAGGATCCACCTTGCCCAATCATTCTCGATTCCACGGCATTGAAGTTGTACCGCGGACGAGGAGCAAACGTCAAAATAAACACCACTCGGTCCATCCCATTGGGATCGGTATAGGCCGTTCCACGATGCGTCGTTTGTTGATTGACTAGGGCACCCCATCCCTTGGGCCACACACCGTCACCTGCAGCCGACACGGCATAGTCCTCACAGATTTCTTCGGCCGATGCTCCATCCCCACACATTTGTGTTCCCGGACAAATTTGTGTCGCCCCCATTTGTTTCGTCGTGTCTTGTAGGGGAATAAAGAGGGAATAGGACGGTATAAAACTCCGTGCGTACTTGGCCGCCGATCCTTCCGGTACAACATCTTGATGAAAGTTTTGCATGCCAGCTCCTTTGGTACTCGTAATGGCGGTGAATTCGATAATGGCCGGATTACGGCCCAGCACTTGTTCCAGCATGGGTTTCAAAACGGGATGGGTAGCAATTTCCTTGAGCGCAGCTGGAATACTCTCGTCTTGATCGACTTGAATTCCAAAGCTGTGCCGATTTTTGCCGTTAATAACCCAGAATCCTTCTTGTCGTTTGTTTTCTTCCACGATAAAAGCTCGTAGGATATCGGCGGTGGTATTGGTCAAGATATCGGGAAGAATAGTGACCCCATGAACTTGCATGTGTTCCACCATTTCGTCCGTAGTCCAGTCGGGTTCTGCCACCAGTTCTTCCACGGAATTGGCGGTAATGTCATCTTCGGTACAGTAGTAGTGGTAAGATGTGACTTCGGTATCGGAACGGATTTCGGTCCATTTCATGGCTTTTCGCAACGGCTCCAGATAATCATGATGGACTTGCTCCAAGACATACAAGGAAGTGTACGCCGTAAAGAGGAGTAGCAGAGGAAGATCCATCAAGAGAGTGCGAAGGATTATCCATAAAATGCGACTACGTGGAGACGTAGTTCTGGGACTACTGGTATTCTTGCCGTCGTGGGAGGCTGTCTTGGAAGAGGGAGGAGTTGGCGGCACCAACGTGGAAGGATTCATCATGGTTGCTTTCTTCTTCTTCTTCTTCGTTTGATCGTTTCAATGCGACAATGGTTGTCTCTATGTAGGTAACTAAACTAAAACAACGTCGTCTTCAGCCTCTCTATCCCCTCCCTCCAACGAACTAACACAGCATCGATCCGAAGCAGCTTTGGTATTTGAAAAGAAAGATGTTCGGGTTGGATGCAACAGGCTGTCGATTTGTGAGCGTTGGAGCACTTTTGGAGGGAAGACAGGAAGCATGCACGAATGACGCGGGACCATCACTCAGTTCACACATGCATGAAACGGCCAGTTTAGCAAGAGACAAGCGCTGTATTGGGTTGCAAATACAACGGTACACGGTACTGGTACCACCTGGTACCATACCGGTACCGCGTACGGTACGTACAACTGGTTCCGTACACCCACAAATAAATGGAGGATTCGGCATGATAGACCTTGTTTTGATTCCTTCGTGAAAAATAAAGGTTTCCCTTTGTCATTGGGCTTGCTCCCTCTGGATTTGCAATGACATGGCTTCATGGGCGAACGGTGCGTTGGGTCGTCCATAAACGCGTGATACCGTCCAACACTTTCTGTGACTTTGTTTTGGTTGATTGGATTAGGTCCCGCTATCAAACGAGTCAACTGTTACGTTGTTCCTTCTTTTGGATCAACCATTCCGATGGACGCGACTGGGTGCGAGAGTGGTTATTCGGGTGGACTTGAAATCCACTGCCTTATTGGCGCGCAGGTTCGAATCCTGTCCCAGTCGTTCGAGTGATCTTTTGCCATAAGATACTGTAGTCTAGATCTAGAGTAGCTAGATGTCTTCCTCAGCTCTTCCATAGTCGATACATTAGCCTTGCGGTTGGACGTTAGCTAAGTAGATGCATTTGGTTCTGCTTTTCGTGGCTCCAAAATCCAAATCGTAGGCCGCCAAGCTGCATGGCTTTAGCTCTTAGCTTGTCCCACTCGCAGCCACGTTGATCCTTCGCTTTGCAGGGCAGAGCTCGCGGATCTCAACCTTTCCGAAAGCGACCGCACTCTATTAGTTAGCACAACAGCACAACGAGTGGTTGGATGCTCGTGCCGGCACGGCATTTTTCCGCGATACCTCCAAAGGGTTGGGTGTTCTCCAAAACTCCTAAGGCGTGGTGCCTTCACGTGCAATACAACGATTTGGTTTCGCATAGGCACATCACATCAGTTCAATAGCACACAGACCACACAAAAGCATTCAAATTTATCATTTATTTCATTCATTGCATAAAGAAAGAAGATTGGTTGTTCCCAAAAACATAAATGTGGCTCACAAGCGTAAGCAGCACGCTCAAAGGCCTCTCATTTCCAAGCCACTACGCTAAACAGAACGACACTACCAAACTGGCTGCCACCAACCACAGAGACGACATCACAAGAGGCGACCAAGCTGCCGAGCAACCGGCCTCGACCGAGATTTCGTACAAGACGCAATCGTCCTTGAAACAGGCTCCGGATCCATTAAACATATCGACGGCATGTGCCACGGGGGTGACATTCCAACACAACTTTTGCTTGTAATTGGGGGTATCTTTGAACGTTTCTCGGAAATTGGTGACCGAGTAAACCTCCCAGTCGCGCAAATCCGCTTGGATATCGGATCCACCAAACATGTTGAACATGTCCTTGACATTGTGTAACTTGTCGGACCACTGTTCCAATCCTTCTCCCTTGAATTTGCGGGCGCCACAAAACATGCAGGCCATGGTTTCGGCCTTGCTCACGTCCCAACTACCTAAATTGCGATCAAATCTGGAAGCGTCCCAAAACATGGAGCTAAAATCGGTCACGGCCGATACATTCCAGCGACTGATATCTTCGTTGAATCGTTCATTGAACGAGAACAGATTTCGAAGACTCGTCACGTTGCGGAGATCCCAGTCTCGAATGGCTCCGTGCTCTTGTGCCGTCGCATCGGGATCTTTCATGTACTGTTGCACACGCGATTGGATGTTGTTGTTGTGGAGTGCCCACGGGGTCTCGCCATTGGGATTGTTGGCAGTCACTGGTACTACTACGAGCAACGAACTGCTGACCAGGACGGATACAAACAAGGCGATTTGGTGGAACGAAGGCATGGCTCTTCTTGCTTGGCTGCTGGAATGACGATACGATGGTGATGATGATGATGATGACGCTGTTGATCTTTCCCGAAGCTTGGTCATGGTGGCCTTTGGAGGATCCTTTGCTGGGTTGGGATTTGGATTTGCCTCCAAGCATGCGAAGACATCGATCCTCGATGTGGCGGGGGTTCACTGAGCAACTGGGGTCATTCAGATATTTCGCACTCGTAGGCTTTGAGTGCCGTAATGACATCAATGAAAGTCCCAAGGGAAACTGTCTCATTTTTTCTGTCCTTCCGGCTTCCGGATCTTCTTCTCTCCTCCCTCTGGCCCTCACACCTTCCGCAGGGACGGATTTTTAGCCCTGACGCATTCACAATCTCGGGGACTGCCGAACGACAAATTTTCAGAGATGATGAGAATGCAACTTTGAAAGACTTGCACTTGAGTTGCTGGAGGGAAGAACTTTGAAGTAGCCAAAAGTTCGGCACCCCAGATCACATTATTTAGTTTCTGCACATTCAACACCATGAGGACCCTATTGTATGCATCACGAGTGGCGCTGAAACGGGCCCGAATACCGGTGGCAAGAGGGTATACGCTGGACGACAGAGTCCTGAGCAATGCCTACTCTTCTACTTCTAGACGACTGTTATCTACCTCTCTGTCTTCCTTCGAGGACGAACAACATGATGACAGAAGTGTCGTTATTCCAGCGACACTAGCATCCCTTACCTCCAAGAAAGGCGCTACTGCTAGTCACAGGGAGACCAAGATTAGTAAAAAGGAAATGAGGGAAGAGGAGACCAAACGATGGAGATTATCCGATGTCCCCATTTCCGACATTTTAGAGGCCAAACACAGCAATCGATGGGTCAATCCTACCATTTCCAGCACGGCAACTCTCAAAGAAGCCATTGAAATAATCTTGGAAGGAGAACTTAGCGCCGCCATGGTCGTTGATGAAACCAAGCATGTCGTGGGTCTCGTCACATCCAGAGATTTATTGCGGTGTATTTCCATGGGTATCAAAGATGGGGATTCCAGCGATGAACTACTCGATCGAGTGGTGGGGGATCATGTCATGACACCCATTAGTCAAGTTATTTATGCAAGACCAGAAGGTAAGTCACCAGAATAAGACACAAGCAACACAAACAGAGATAAAGCCATGACAATTCACAAACCACAAACTAAAAATGACAAAACATAACAATTACTCTTTTTCTCTCAGAAACGGTCGGATCGTGCCGAACCATCATGGCCAAGCTGGGAATCAAATGTCTTCCCGTATTATCCAAAGAAGGGAGAGTGGAGGGATTGGTGACGGCTCGAGACATGTCCCAGTATCGATTTTCAGCAGAGGACAAGGGTGGAAAAAAGAGCTACTTGAACGATGTCTCAGAACGAGTAGGCATGGGATCCAACACCAGTATGGCTGACCCTCCAGCGTTTATGCAGGCTCATCTCGCTCTGGAACAAACAGCACTCTTTATCAACGTGGGTGTCGCAGAGTTGCCACATCCCTTCAAAACAGAAAATGGCGTCGGAATGAATCATCGCGATTTTGGACCCAGCGAGTTCTCCGCCGATCCATCCTTTTCCGAAGATGCCTTCTTTACCAAAACTGTACGACTCCCCGATGAAAAACTCAACAAAATACAGGAAGTGACCTATTGTGGTATTGCCGATGGGGTTGGCTCGTGGAGGGCGTATGGAGTCGATCCTCGCGAATTCTCACACGCATTAATGAAGGAATGTGAAAATGTGCTGCAGGAAGCATCCAATAGTGCACTCGAACGGGAAATGAAAGGAGAAAAGAATCGTCGGAGTATCCGGCCGGGGGAAGTATTGGCCAATGCCTACGATCGAGTGGTGGAACAGAATATCACTGGATCCTCCACAGCCTGTGTGGCCCTCTTTGACAGCATTCGCCATCAGTTGCACTTCAGCAACTTGGGCGACTCGGGGATCATCATTCTGCGGCATATTGATTCCGATGTGGCGGGAGCACTGAAACGAAACCGCAAAACACCAAGAGCAGAGCGAAAGTCGGATCTACAGGCTGTCTTTGTCTCGCAACAACAATTGCATTCGTTCAATCATCCATTCCAACTGGGATGGACTGGAGAGGAACTGGAGAAAGAAGAAAAAACATCCTTCTCGTCCGCCAAATCTGCCTGCACGACAAGTGTACATCTGCGACGCGGAGACGTCATCATCATGGCCACAGACGGGCTATTCGACAATGTTGATATTGATGAAATTGCTGCCGTTACATTGGAGTGGGAGCGACAAAATGGCTTTTTGCGAGGGGGTGATATTGATGGACGAGAGAACCGATGGACGCTGGGGAATTCGCTCACTGATTGTTCGTATGAACGGGTCCCGAATCTTGCCGAGATGCTGGTGAAAAAGGCTCGCAATAACAGTCTGGATCCTACCACCGATTCGCCGTTTGCATTGCTTGCAAAGGATAATGATATCATGTGGAGTGGAGGTACGGATGTTGCTTGTTTGACAGTTCGGTTCAGTTGCAGCCTGCGCTGCACATGTGAACCCATGTGCGGCTTTTTGTATGAGCACACTCATTTCCTGTTTGCATCTGTTTCGCCCTGGAAAATAGGAATGCCTGATGATTGCACAGTGATTGCCATGCATGTAGTTGGCCGTTCACCGCTTGCTCGTGCAGGAAAGCTTAGTGGTCTCTGATGAGGCTGCTCATGTCACTGTTTCTGATCACCACCACATAGTTCACTATTCCACACTGGCTAGCTTCCACTCAAGTGTAGCACGAAAGCAACATCGCAAAGTGATGCGCGCAAAAAAGGATGGCAGCAGGCTACGGGAAGGACTCTTGCCACGGCAACCCAGAAGCTTTGTGCTTGGGACACCGGTAGTGATCTGCCTTGGGCAACGTGAGATACGGGCCAGTTGGCGACACACATATTCCATTGCCACCCAGCTGACAGAACTAGCTGGAGTAGCGTGTTCCATAGCGCATAGACTTAAAACAGAACATAGATGAAGCTGCTTCAAGCTACCAGCGCTAGTTGTTTGGCCTACTGCTCAAGCTTCGTCTTGTGAGATTGCTGGTTCACACTTGCTTACTTGGTCCTCAGTGTGTTTTCTTTACAATATGTCGGTCAAAGGACAGTATCGGTACGAGAACCTGCCTTGGATGCCAGTGGTACTGCCACTGTACCCAAGTGGTGTTGCATAGGGTCGATCTTGCAACTCCTAATAAGCTAAGCCTCTTGTTCTCAGCTGCACACTGTCATCAGCAACTCTTGCATCCACTACCAGCAAGGCAAAACGGGTGCTTTCGTTTATTTGATACTGGTAGACTACCGGTAGAGTTGAGTTGTCCTGTTCAAGAGCAATTTGGCACATTCTGGGTCCTCGCTAACCGGCCATCTTGAATCGGTGCTGTTTGATGAAAGATTAAGTATTGTACAGAAGCTACATGTCTTATGTCTGTTTAAAATCACAGGGCGGGTCAAGGCCAGTTGTGGCTGTCGTCTTCTCCGGCATGCTTGCTAGTCAATCCAATCATAGGCATCCACATCTGCCAAAAACTTGGACTTTGCAGCAGTTTCTCCCAATCCATCATCGAAGACCACAGCGTCGTGAGAATCTCGTTCATGCGGTTCCTTGTACTCTAATCCGAGGTAATCAAAGATGTCCCTCTCCGTGCTGGCTTCCAGGACTCTCTCCTGGACACATTCCTTGGCATTGTACAAGCCGTGATCGCTCAATTTGAGGCCCTTTTTCACTTCAGCATACAATCGGATGGACCGGTTGAAGAACCCACAACCTACGCACATTTGTCAGTCAGGCCACAAGCAAGGAGCACCCCAAAGCAGAAACCTTCAAGACTTGCTTTGCAATTCGTTTCTTACCTGTAAAATGAATCCAAGCAAACGCTCGTTCCCGGAACGGGTAGAACTTGATGTCCACGCGCCGTCGTCTTCCAGGAACCTTGGGCGAGTAAAAGACTCCCATGTAGGACGACCCAGCATGTTTTTTGGTTGTCGATGATTTCTGGACCACCTTATCGCCATCGTCCGCATTGTACCCTCCCTTGCAATAGTCCCCATTGTCCTTGCTGCGTAGTTTCATCCCGGCAATAAAGGTCAAATGATAGGCCATGTGTCCCTCATCCAATAGTTCTTCGACCATCTCCCCCAAGACGGTTTCCGGGACCGTTTTGACGTAGTCCTTGTGTGTAATGAGCACATCCACGTCCCCACATTCCGCCTTGCCTCGTCGGTAGCTTCCCATGATTGTAATTTCCAGTGGATTGTTGCTGTTATTATTGTTGTTGTTGCTGTCGTAGTTGAAATGTCGACGCATTGCCGTTTCAATGATTTTGCCAATTTCTTCGACTTCGCTTCGATCCATATGATCTTTGAAATCTTGATGACAATCGACGCCGATCCGCTGGTTGCGCTCCATCTCGAGTCGATTGGTCGCCAAAGCATGACAGACGTCCTGGATGGTTTGGAATTTGTACACTTGTACCAACTGGGATGCCTGAGTGCATGATCCAAAACAGAACAGAGCCAAAAATAATAAATGAATAAATGAAATGAGCAACGAGCCATGCGCCATTCACTGCTCGTGGATTGTATTTGTGTTGTGTTTCGACAATACGGTACATACCAGAACTCTTCCAACTCCCCAGATTGCCATCATGACTTTCATGGCGTTTCGTTCGGGACTCTTTTGAAATTCTTGAATGCGATCAATGGTTCCGGTTTGTAGGATTTGACAAATTTTGTCTTGTGTGGCAGGACCAATGCCATGAATCCGAGCAATCATACTTTGGACGGTGGGATCGAGTGTGACCTCAAAATCGAGATTTTGAATGCGACCGGCGGCCCGATCGTACGTGTATCCCCTCCACACATCTTCTTTCAGCAATGGGCATTTTTGATGGAGGCGGGACAATTCTCGAAGTTTGGTCATGACGAGGAAATTGTTGGGGAATACACCTCCATTTTTGCGTTTTGGGTTGGCTTCTTCCTCGTCGCTCTCTTCGTGTTCTTTTGCGGCTGGTTGTTGTTGTAGTTGTGACAACGTGGTGCTGGTTTGTTGAGATGATTGAGAATATTTTTGGCGCTGCAACAGATTGAGGGGAAAGAAATACACATGTTGTTGGAGCCGTTGCAAAGAGTGACAAGAGACGCCAACGTTCCAGTTTTTGCTTCGCACCTTGCTAGGAGAGCTGAGATTGATTTTCCACCATCGATGTTCCCGTGGCAACTGTGCCGGAAGCTTGCCCTTGGTTCTTGTGATCCATGTCGGCAGAGCGCACTGGATCTGATGCTACGGTACAGAAATGAATCACCAGAACACACAAAACCAAAAGAGTGAGAATTTGAAAAAGACGCAAGTGACCATGACTACGGTATCTCAAGGAATCAATCCTGCCAAGGACAAAAACGGCAATCTATGACATGGGAAAAAGGAGATCCAGAAAGCCCTTGATCAAGCCATAGAGAAAGCCATTGATCTCCTTCTTTTCTACCGTATATCATAGATTACCTTTTTTGTCCTTGGCAGGATTTGTTGCGATACGGTACAGTAGGTAGTCTTTGAAGTAGAGAATGGAAATTGTCGAGCTTGTACACGTGTACAGTACTGTCATTACCTTGTGAAGAAACTCGGAAAAGTCGTCAACCGACGCAAACTGCAAGACTTGTGCAGCGCGTTCCATGGTCAGACTTTCGTCGAGTACCAAATGGGTGGGGAGTGGAATCCGATCCAATTGTCGCTGTCGCTTTCTCGTTTTCTTGTTGGCGACTTTGCGTTGAGCGGGCGTAAGACGCGCTGCAAAGTCGGAAACGACCGTGGCTCCTTTGTCTTGGGCGGTGCGGACGAGACTGTCAATTCTCGATTGTGGCATGGCCGTGCCCCATTTCAACACGAACAAACGGATCTTGCGATCATCATCTTGTCCTATCGACCCGTCCCTCGAAGCTGTCTTGTCCATGTCCATGGTGACTCCATCCAGCTAGCTAGCTAGTTAGTTCGTCATCTCTGACTGACGCTTGGAATGATCAGGCGATCTGGAGGCAATTCAATTAATTCTACAAAAAGAAGATTCTCAAAAAGATCTCATTGCCCTCACAAAATGCTCACCCGGCCGACGCATCATCTCCGCGCTTAAGTAACATTGTTCATGGCTCGCTGGTTATTATGGCCTTTGCACGTAGAGACTACGAGAATGTGGTACTGCAACACGTACTTTTACAAACTTTTTGCGCTTTCTCAAAAAGACGAAAATGACCCACTCAAGATTTCTCGTTACGAATGTTTTACGATGGCTAATTAAATGAGAAATTCGTTAGGGATTGAATGAAAGTATAGCCATTGTAAGTTTAAGTCTTATTGACTACAAATGGAAGTGACAGCCGGTTGCTGCTGCTTTATCGATTGAACGAACCAAAATCGGGAAGTAGATTGACATCGTTTGTCTTTTTGGTGCTTTCGCAATGTCCCCACCACCACCGTCCAAGAAGGAAAAAGCGCTCTCTATTTAGTTAGTTAGGTTTTAGCCACCATACCCTGTCCCACACAAAGTGGTGCACTGCATGGACCCATCGCATCACAAGGCGGGGTCATCATCAGCAGCAGCAGCCACAACAGGAGGGACATTTTCTTCTTCTCATAATCAGCAGAAGACAACCAACTCCAATCCTAGTAGTAGTACTACCACCACTCCCAACAGCAGCAATCGGGGACATCGAGTTCGTAGTGGCGACGACTCGACTTCCAAGAAGAAGAAGAAGTCCCCCCAGAAGAAGCGCCACTTGTTGACCATTGCTAGTGAATACTATAGTAGTAGTCACGACTATAACAACAACAGCACGATGGATTGGTTCGGGGGGATCTTTGACGAACAGCCGGCCAAGGAAGAAGAGTTCCCCAAAGACGAACAAGAGTTGGATGATGCCGCACGAGATGCCGCCAAGGCGGATATTCGAAGGATTCTCAGTACGACTTCCGAAGAGGCAGACCGTCAACTGGAACTCGACCCGTATGACCACACACTCGTCCAACAAATCGAAAAGGAATTGGCCGAAGAAGGCAGTGGCGGAGACAGCGACACGAACAACACTCATCGCATCAGTGAAGTCGCCACTATTACCGATTCCGTCAAGGGCGAAAACGATGATCTCGATGACGACGATGACGATAGCGAAGAACAAGAAGAAGAAGAAGGCGCCCTGCCCAACTTGGCCAACATGTTCTTTCTAGGACAAGTCGCCAACAAGTTCAAAATTACCGCCACGGCGCGCAAATCGGTAGCCGAGCAAATGAAGATTGAAGCCGATATACGAGCCTATTTGGCCATTGATGGCAACACGGAAGATCAACTGCGTGCCACGGGAGAATTTGACAAAGAAGATGCCAATCGCGTCCTCGCAAAAATCAAACAAGAACGAGCCATTCTCAAATTGGCCGAAACGGAAATGACCGATGCCAGTTCCAAATCGCAATCGCAACAGCAACAACAAAATACCCCCAAGAGTAGTAATAATACGCAACTCGAAACGAGTCCGTCCGGAGAAGCGGTCGAATTGATTGAGGAATTCTCCAGAGATGATAATGATGATCAATCGTCAAAAGATCAAGTCAAGAAACAGCTCTTTGGTGACCAACAGCAGCCAGACGATCTCGACTCGATTGAACAATCCCGTACGTTCGAACAAAACGAACAGAATGATCCTACCGCTACACTCCACAACGACAATATGGTACCACTCGTCGAATCCATGGAAAGTACCACTTCGTCCGATCTTGGGACTAACGCCAGTTCGGCGGCGGGAGCCTACTTTGATCCCATTCGGGCGTCGCGGACGGACGAAAGTAGTAGTATCAAGGATTCTCTGCCCATGATCTTGTCGGCATCGACCGTCGGCAACAGCTATCCAGCACCGCAGACTACGGAGGCGGAAATGATTGTCGCCCTTCAACAACAATTGGCTCAAAAGGAACAACATCTCGCACAATCCATTGACGAATGGAAGGGACAACTCGAACAAAAGGAAGAACAGTTGGCACGATCGCAAGGCATTCTCGCGCACAAGGAAGATCAAGTCAAGATTCTCGAAGAACAATTGCGCACGCGGCCGACGACTATGAGCAATAAGAGTACTCCCACCAAAGATAATACTGCTACGACCAAACAGCAAGCACTATCACAAGAAACACCTCCTCCTCCGACACAAACAAAGTCGGACGAAGAATCACCCTTTGACGAACGCGACAGTGACATGCAACCACCACCACCAAAGACGTTTTCGCAACTATTCCAAGAAGCACAGGCGGAAATGCAGGCGCTGCAGGAACATACCCTCGAACTCGTCCAGGAATTGGATCGGACCCAGACCGAGTCGCAGGCGACACAGAGCACCATGGAAAATGAAAGAATACAATGGCAAAAAGAACGCACCGAAATTGTCAAGAATTCCTTTGCCACTCTGCAATCCAAATTCCGAAGCATGCGGGGTGAAAAGGACCAACTCGAAGCCACGCTAGAGAAGGAACGGCGGCAGTGGAAAACCGAAAAACAGCAGTGGCAAAAGGAACGGGAAACGTTGGTCAAGACGTCCTTTGCCAACCTCCAATCCAAGTACCACGAAGTCAAGGGGGAGAATGACCGACTGCAGACCACCTTGGAGAAAGAGAGAGAACAGTGGCAAAAAGAACGCGAGACAATTGTCAAGGAGTCGTTTGCCAACCTTCAATCCAAATATCACGAGGTCAAGGGGGAGAACGACCAACTGCAAGACACTCTAGAGACTGAGCGAGAACAGTGGCAAACGGAGCGCACGTCGATTGTCAAGGACTCATTTGCCAGCCTGAAAAACAAGTTCCATGACATCAAGGGGGAGAAAGAGAACTGGAAGCTACGCTCAAAACCAAGGAGCAAAGCTGGCAAAAAGAGCGCGAGTCTCTGGTGAAGGACTCATTTGCTACACTGCAGGCCAAGTATCACGAAATCAAGGGGGAGAAGAAAGAGCTCGAAGCTGTTATGGAAGCCAAGGAGCAAACATGGCAAAAAGAACGAGAATCACTAGTCAAAGACTCCTTTGCTACACTGCAGGCCAAATTCTATGAGGTGCAGGCAGAAAATATGGAACTGAGGGCGTTGCGAGTCAAAGAACAGCCGCAACCAGAAACAAAGGGAAGACCATTTCCTCCACCACCTAACTTTATCAGTGCCAGCATGGCAGAAGCAGAGGCCAAGAAGCAGCTGTTCCCACCACCACCCAACTTCATCAGCGCCAGCATGGCAGAAGCAGAGGCCAGAAAGAAGCAGTTCCCACCTCCACCAAATTTCGTCAGTGCAAGCATGGCAAAGGAAGCTGGTATGGATACTGGGGACACCGCAGCTGCTTCAGCATCTGCTCCTGGGGGCATGGGTGATGTCAACACTGCCATGGCTATCCTCGCAGCACGTAACAGGAGTATTGAATCCAAGAAGTCACCTGGAGCAGCTGCAGTTGGCTCTCAAGATCAGCCAAAGAGCATGGGATTTGTGCCACCTCCCATGCCCAACTTCATCAGTGCAAGCATGGCCAAAGAAGCAGAGATGGCAAAGGGAACTAGCTTCCCACCACCACCAAACTTCATCAGTGCAAGTATGGCAGAAGCAGAGGCCAAGAAGCAGCTGTTCCCACCACCACCCAACTTCATCAGTGCAAGCATGGCAGAAGAGGAGGCCAGAAAGAACTTCCCACCTCCACCAAACTTCATCAGTGCAAGCATGGCAAAGGAAGCTGGTATGGATACTTCAACAGCAGTGGCTGCTCCAGGGGGCATGGGAGATGTTGACACTGCCATGGCTATCCTGGCAGCTCGCAACAGGAGCATTGCATCGAAGAAATCTCCTTTGCCACTTGCAGCTGGCGCTCCAGATCAGCCAAAGAGCAGGGGATTTGTGCCACCTCCAATGCCGAATTTCATCAGCGCTAGCATGGCCGCACAAGCAGATGAGCAAAAGAGGACTAGCTTCCCACCACCACCAAACTTCATCAGTGCCAGCATGACAGAAGCAGAGGCGAAGAAGCGGCTGTTCCCACCACCATCCAACTTCATCAGTGCAAGCATGGCTGAAGCAGAGGCCACGAGAAAGGCTTTCCCACCTCCACCAAACTTTATTAGCGCAAGCATGGCAAAGGGTGCAGGAGAGGCTTCTGGTGCTCCAACCGGCATGTCAGTTCCTGGTGATCCTGGTGATGTGAACACTGCCATGGCTATACTTGCAGCAAGGAACAGAAGTAATGGAGGAAAGGCAGGCTCAACTGCAGACCTAGAGGCCAGATTTCATCAGGTTGTGTCAGAAATGCAGGAACTCAAAATTGCCTTAGATATGGAGAGGAAACAATGGCAACAGGAGAGGGAATCTCTTGTCAGGAATTCATTCGCAAATCTCCAGTCCAAGTTCCATGAGGTCAAGGCAGAGAATCAGGAATTGAGGACATTATTGGAGTATCAACAGCAAGAAGTTGTAGAAGAGGTAGAAATTGAAGGAAGAAGTTTCTTCCCACCACCACCAAACTTCATCAGTGCCAGCATGGTGCAGAAAGCGCAAGCCCAACAAGGGCGCAATTTCCCTCCTCCGCCCAACTTCATCAGTGCAAGCATGGCGGAAGAAGAGGCCAGAAAGAAGAATTTCCCACCTCCACCAAACTTCATCAGTGCAAGCATGGCAAAGGAAGCTGGTATGGATACTTCAACAGCAGTGGCTGCTCCTGGGGGCATGGGTGATGTCAACACTGCAATGGCTATTCTCGCAGCTCGCAACAGGAGTATTGCATCCAAGAAATCTCCTTCACCACTTGCAGCTGGCCTTCAAGATCAGCCAAAGAGCAAGGGATTTGTGCCACCTCCAATGCCGAACTTCATCAGCGCTAGCATGGCCAAACATGCAGATGAGCAAAAGAGGACTAGCTTCCCTCCTCCACCAAACTTTATCAGTGCAAGTATGGCACAAAAGAAGCAAATTTCATTCCCGCCTCCTCCAAATTTCATCAGTGCAAGCATGGCAGAGGCAGAGGCCAAGAGCAATGCTTTCCCACCTCCACCAAACGTTATTAGTGCAAGCATGGAAAAGGATGCAGGAATGATGACTTCAGGCGCTCGAAGTTCTTCAGTTTCCGGTGATGCTGGTGATGTCAATACTGCCATGGCTATTCTTGCAGCAAGGAATGCAGGCACCACAAACAGAACTGTGCCTGTTGGTGATCTTGAAGCAAAGTACCAGCAGCTGTTAGCAGAAAAGGAGGAACTAAGGGCCAGTTTGAAGACTAAGGAGCA